TGATTACAGGGGCACTTGGCCAGTTCAGTTGGTGGCATGTGACTCTTGATCTCAGAGTCTTGAGTTCGAGCCCCATGTTGGGTGTGGAGATTACTAAAAAAAAAAAAAAAAAAAATTACAAAAAGTAAAGATTTAAAAAGAACATTTTAAAAAAATGGTAATGATAATGGACTATAATGCATTTTATTGGGTAAAAATTCATTAGTTCACGACACCACTCCAGAAGAGGAATAAGATGGCTTTCTCTACAAGAGACTGCGTGCCCATAGATGTAGACAGAGTGACAGAATTAGCAGATTGCCCATTGGCAGCCTTCAGCGCAGCAAGTAGGTCAAGCATGGATGTCCGTGGATGGTGTGGCAGCTGGGAACAGGGTGGTCAGTATCACCCCAGATTGCCCACTGGTTCAAACAGGAAATCGGCCTGTACCACTGACAACTCCCAGGAACCCCACCTCACCTACGTAATCAAACCTAGCAGAACCAGAAATCGGCATCCCTTATGTAATATTCTTTTAAAAGGCTTAATGTGATTCTAATCATGCAGAAACTGACAGGTCTTTTGCAGGCCATTCACGAAGACTGGCCTGAGCTCATCAACACAGCAGTGTTTAGAGAGACTGGGGTGGGGGTTCTGGGTCACTTGAATGTCAAGGAGACTGAGTAAATACAGTGTGCTATTGACAATTGGACCCTGGTCCAAGACCATTGGAGAACAGCTATGTAGAAGATCAATGGCCATTTAGGGGGTGGACTGAGGACTACATATGAAGTAGTCTTATTGTATCAAAGATGAACTTCCGGGATCCCTGGGTGGCGCAGTGGTTTAGCGCCTGCCTTTGGCCCAGGGTGCGATCCTGGAGACCTGGGATCGAATCCCACGTCGGGCTCCCGGTGCATGGAGCCTGCTTCTCCATCTCCCTATGTCTCTGCCCCTCTCTCTCTCTCTCTCTCTCTGTGTGTGTGTGTGTGACTATCATAAATAAATAAAAATTAAAAAAAAAAAACCAAAAAACAAAGATGAACTTCCTTGGGTGTCCTGCTGTCACTGCGATTGTTTATAAGTCTGAAGGTCTTAAGGGGATTTATGTTGATGTATTTAGGGACAAAGTATCAAGCCATCTTGCAGCTTTGAAATGGAAAAAAATGTATAATCATAGAAAAAGCAAGTGTGACAAATGTTAATTGGTGAGTCTGGATGAAGGGTATATAGGTATTCATCATGCTGTTCCCTCAACATTAATATAGGTTTGAAATTTTTCAGAATAAAATCTTAGAGTAAAGGAAATGCAGGCTGCCGTGACCGCAGGAGGCGTGGTGGGGTCGCTGCCACTTGACTAGAGCCTTGAGAAGCAGAGAGAGAGGGTTGGGGCCATCACGGAACAGCAGCAGGGTGAGCACAGGATCCAGTGGAGGCCAGTGTGACAGAGCAGGGAGTGCCAGTGAATTCCCACAGTGTTTGGAGGCACTTGGTAAGAGGCCTTCAGTGCTCAGTGCCAGGGGACAACACGCACTCCTGGGCTTTCGGGAACAAGCCAGGGATGACAGGTCCATCTGAGCCCCGGGGAGGCCAGTGTGTTGCAGTGGAGAGAAAACAGGGCTGCTATACTCGTCCAGACCTGCAGCTGGAAGCCATGGCCTTTGCTGGTGGCACAAGATGACTCCATGGCACGGGGCTTACTGAGAAGCTGGGCCAGGCCATCTGTCTCGTGGCTGCCATTTAACAAGCTACAAACTCAGGTGAAGTGTCTCCCCTCTCCCAGGCCTTCCCCACACCCATCAGGTTCAGGCCAATTGGAATTTAAGCTCAGCTGCCACATTTCTATGGGAATGTCATGAGAAAGAGGGGAACCCAAATATAAGTCCTTTCTTCTTTTCTGATGGCCCTTGTTTCATGCCAGGCTATGTCCTCCCTCCTCTCCTCCTCCCTTATGTCTGATTTTAACCTTCCCACGGTCTGCTCAGGGTCTGACCCTAGGGGATCCGGCAGCTTGCATATTGTCTCAGTGCGGGTTGTCACCCGAGCTGCTGCTGTAGGCATGTCTTCCTCCAATTCTGTGGTGGGTTTTCCTCTGTGAAGCTCTTGGCAAGAAAAAAATGTTTACCTGTTGCTGGAATGTTTCTTGTGCATCCTGATGTCCTCCATGCCAGTTCCCTGGGCCTCAGCACTGTGGGCCTTTGACGAGGCCAACAGCACCCTACCTGCTCAAGTGCAGAGCAGACCAGGCTGCGCGCTCCCTGCCCTGCAGGCTTTGATGCAGGCACGGGAAGCCACTGGGCCGCAGAGTCCAGCAGAGGCGAGGATGAGGCCCAGGCTCTCCTGGGATGACATGGGCTTTCTCCTGAGGAGGAGGAGGGGTTCGCGCCTGAACAGGATCACCCAGGGTGGGGTGTGCTGCCGATCTGACGGAAGATGACAGATAAGGAGCTGCAGCAGAAGACCTCTACCATAAGGTCCATTCTGAGAACCCCTCTCTGAGGGGGGCTGGCACCAAGCCGTGGCCCCCTGTTTGTGCTGAAGCTCTGTACACTGCCCTCGTCCCCAGCTGGCAGTGACCAAGTCTTATTTCTATGCCCTAGTGCCTTCACACTGTGTAGAGTAACACTGCAGAACTGTGTGCAGGGATGCTGCACCGTCCAGGGGCTGTGGTAACCACTGACTACACATAGCTGTGAAGCACTGGAATTTGGCTCGTATGACTAAGAAACTGAATCTTAAATTTTATTTCAAAAATAAATAGACACATGTGGTAGTGACCATTATATTAGATGGCACGGGTCTGGGTGCCAGGACACTGTTTTCAGTGTCACTGAGGTGTCATTGACACACGGCGCTGTGTCAGTTCCAGGGCTACAGCGTGGTGACATGACATACGTGTGAGGTGGAATGGTCACCCCAGTGAGTACGGTTCTCATCCAGATTCTAGAACACTTCCCCAATGCTGGACCGAGCCGAGTGCCTGCCATGGGTGGAGGGGGCAGGGAAGGCGAGCTGATGGAGTCCAGTAGTTTGAAGACACCAGAAGTTGGAGCTGCTGGAAGTGCACCCTGGAGCCTGGCTTACGGATGCAGTTACAGGCCATGGAGTAGGAAGGACATCTAGGGAGTGGGCGCTGCACGGGCAGTGGGCACAGTGTGGGCAAAGGCAAGAGCCAGAACCCGGAGCAGGTGAAGGGAGGCGACAGTAGCAAAGAGCAGAGACGAGTGCTGCTGGAGTCCTACCCTAGTGGCCCACAGCTGCCTCTAGGCAGTCCTGCTGTGCCACCCATGGGGCAGCACAGTGGGCCCTGGGGGCTGTGGGAGGACCAGGCAGGAGCCCCTGCTCCACACCATGGCCCAGCTCGAAAGCAGTCCCGAGTACCAGAGAGAAGCTCTGCAAGGTTTGGGGCAGCAAAGTGACATGAGTGGATTGGCATTTTGGCCAGATGACTACTACGTCTTGGCAGGTTTCCTCTCCTGGGCCCTGCTGAGTTTGATTGTGGCTTTTTTTTTGAGCCCACCATCTCCACTGTCTTGTCTGGTTTATGTCTTGTTTTTGTCTTTCTTCCTCCTTTCTTGCTTCACTCTCTCCTGGGCCCCCTGCTCTCTACTTCCTCGGTGTCCTTCTGTCTCTGATCCAAAGATCAGCCAGTAAAAAGCAGTCTCACCTGTCCAGGTAAGAGGGGTGCCAGGGTGAGGGGGGAAGAAGACCCCCTCTTGTAACTTTAGAGGTAATTTATTTATGTTGTATTGTATGTATTACTTGAAGAGCTAGCACCGTCACATGATTGAGAAGTTCACGGGTACAAGCAAGAATAGGATGTAAAGCTCCCAGCGCAGTGTGTGGGTGTCTTTCGTACCCTCCAAAAGTGGTTTAGACATTTTATGCATATGCAAACAAATATGTGAGCACATAGGGACAAATAATCTCCTTACCCATTTTCTCCTGTGTACATAATTCCGCTCAGAGCCCTCCCATCCCACACAGCTGAGCACCATCACTCAGTTTCCCCACCCAGCCACCTGTGTGAACATTTACATCGAGTCCATGCTTTGCCGCCGCACACAGCGCTTCCATGAACAACCTTCTGTCTGGTCATATGCTGTAGATATGCCTGGGAGACCCCCTCAGAGGGGCAGCAGGCACGCTTTTCTGAAAAGGAGAGGCATGGCAGTGATTGAACTACTCGTGCAAGGGTCCTGGTGCAGTAACCTGGGGTACCTTGAAGTTTTAGGGTCTTAACAGTTGCTAAGCAAGGTGCCTCAGGCTGGCTGCCGGCAGGGGGTGAATGTGGGCTGGACTACTACCACCAGACAGGCCAGACTCCTCCCAGAGCCCACGGGATAAGTGGCATGTTCAGAGGCTCGGGCCATTGCTCTGCCCTCCTTTCTAGAGAAGTGTATGCTAGTTACCCAACAGGTTAGTATTAAATGCCCAGTTACCCTCCTGGAGATGCTGGGTTGGTGGGGAGCACAGCAAGACGAAGCCCAAGTCAGGGAGGCTGTCTGCCGCACCCACCACCGTCCTGCTCAGTGCACGCAGGTCTCCGTGTGATTTTGACCCTCCACCATCTTGCTCTCCAGTCTCCCTTTCCTTTGCAAATCACCACCTAAAACTAACTAGCTTTTGTTTTTTCCTGTCTTTTTCTTGCATTCACTTTCTCTGCTGCTTCGTTCTGTTCCATCAGCCCCATTGCAGCCTGGTAAGACCCAACAAGCGTGTGTGTCTGTGCGCATCCTGTTCTCGCATTGTCTCTTTGTCTCCTGACTCCAGGAAGGGCTCTTGCCCTTCACGCCCTCCTGGGTATCAAAGAGACCATGCTTGTCCTGCCAGTCCAGGATTCCAAATAGGTGGTGTTGCCAGTGGTGTAGATACGCCTAATCTCCCTCCAGGTTTAGCGGGTTTAGCAGGTTACAGGGTGGAAGGGTTGGCCTCTCTTTACCCAAGACTCAGGGCCCCTTTTAACCTGAGACTGGTTCCTCCCTGCCCCACTCAACCAGTGTGCCTTCCTTACTCTCCAGGTTAAGTACCCTGTCTTTGGGAGATCCAGCGCCTGAACGCAGGTCCCCTTCCCACCTCCGCCAGCCCTCTGACACCTCTGAGACAGCAGGTAAATTGGAGACATCAACACACAGACACAGAAGTGAACACTCCCACAGACAGATCTTCTTAGCCTTTACGTTGAGCTCACAATGTATGCTAGGCATTGCATTACACGATTTTACATAAATCGCCTCATCTGTCCTCCCCTCAATGATAGAAAGTAGTAGACATTATCCAGCTTTACAGATGAGGAAGCTGAGGCACAGAAGGGTTCAGAAACGTGCCCAAGTGCAGAAGCTCAGAGGGGACAGAGGCAGGGCCTGAAACCCGTTGGCCTTTAACTCTAGAACTTATGCCTTGTCCATCGCAGGAAGTGGCCAGCCTCACCCAGCCAGACCTAAAGAGAAAGACATGTACAAGAGAGAGACAGCTCAGTGCTCAGAAGAGGGTGATTCCTTAGTTAGAATACAAAGTAGGTTACAAGTTTGTGCTGCTTGCCAAGGGAGGCATGTTGTTGCCGTAGTGTTTGGACAGGAAAAGTCTGGGGAATCTGGTTAGGAGGAGGAAGCACTGGGGCCTTCCTGGGTTGGTCTTGGTGTGTACGCACTAACCTTCCAGTGAGTGTGCCTACCTAACCCCTTCTTTTTTTGTCACCTCCTGTCAGGTCTTGTTCAGCGCTGTGTCATCATCCAAAAGGACCAGCATGGCTTTGGCTTCACGGTCAGCGGGGATCGCATCGTTCTGGTGCAGTCTGTGCGGCCTGGTGAGTGGAGGGTCGAGGGACACTCCGTACTTAGCAGCCATGCGTGTGACAGTGCCGTGTGAGCTGAAGAATGTGCGCATGCTTTCTGTGAGGCACGGCATGTTCTGGGCGTGAAGGAATGACTCGAGTAGGTCCCCAGTGGTGTCTGGGGATGTCACCGCAGTGCCACACCACTAGACAGAATTTCTAGGGATCACACTTCATGCTTTCTTCTCTGTTGGGAGGTGTAACAGCAGCAGAGTGGCCCTCAGGATGTCAGGCACATGCCCACCTGCTGCCCAGGGGAGCCCCTCACCCTGGATGAGAAGATGCTGTGGTGGAAACAGAGACCCCCTTCTTCATACCTACCCACAACACTTTACATTTTGGGATGGCACACTGGCCCGAGCGATTGCCTGCGTTTGCAGATGCAGGTTACCTTAAATACTGACTGACTAAAGGAGAAATGACATATGTGGGCCAGGCAGGGAGGTGGCGGTGCTGGGAAATTGGCATTCGGGCAGTTCGTGGCTGCAGCTTCTCTGGAAGAACCAGGGTTTCAAGGTAGTCTGGAAGGAGGGAATGAAAAAACGCTGGCAGGATAGGAGTTTGGTGGGAAGGGAACAGAGTGGGAGGGCCTATAAGCAGGTCGGTCCTGCCACTACCCAAGAGCAGAAGAGCCACCATCCGCTAGGCAGTAGAGTCACACTGGCTAGTGACCAGGGCTGTGCTGACAAACAGGAAGGACGTGGGGGTGTGGAAGTTTGTGAGGCCGGTGTCTCTAGGAGGAGCGAATGTCAGGATGGCAGATGGGGTGGGGCTCGTGACATGGAGAGTGTCACAGGCTCCCCGTGGAGACATGGCGGGCTTGGGCCAGACACCACAGCCAAGCATGATAGCGCAATAAAGCGAGTCTGATGGTTGTTTCGGTTTCCCAGTTCTTGGAAGAGTTTCGTTTACACTGTGGTTTATTGTATGCAGTAGCGTTACATCTAAAAAGACGATATACGTGCCTTAATGAAAAGTACCTCCTTGCTAATTGGTGAGTCACAACCTTTTTGCCTTGATGTTGGGGACTGCTGAAGGCTGGGGTGGCCGTGGAGCTTTCCTAATATGAGACAGTGAAGTTTGCTGCAACAATGGACCCTCCTCCCGTGAACTGTCTCCCTGAATGTGCGTACAGCTGGATAGCACTACACCCCAGAGCCTGTCCTCTCAGACTCTGGCACCGCGCGATCAACTAAACTTATGGAACATTCTAAATCCTTGGTGGTCATTTCAACAGTCTTCACAGCATCCTCACCAGGAGGAGATTCTGTGTGGGGAAACCACACTCTTGGCTCATCCCTAAGGAACATTCCTTGTGGGTTCAGGTTCTGTCCTGAGATCACAGCGGTTCCGTTCCATCTCCAGGACCCCCTTCTGATTCTGGTTCTCCTGCTGTTTCCACACCTGCAGCGACTTCCTCCAGTGAAGTCTGGAACCCCTTACAGTCCTCCACGAGGGATGCCATCAGCTTCTCCAAACCCCTGTGAATGTTGATCTTTGGACCTCTTCCCACAAATCATGAATGTTCTGAATGGCATCAAGAATGAAGAATCCTTTCCCAAAGATTTTTTCTTTTCTTTTTTTTTTTTTCCCGAAGATTTTCAATTGACTTTGCCCAGATCCATCAGCAGAATCATTGTCTATGGCAGCCATTGTCTCACAAAATATATTTGTCAAATAACAAGACTTGAAGTTGAAATGACTCCTTGCTCTATGAGCTGCAGAGTGGGTGTTGTGTCAGCAGGCATGAGAACAACACTCTTGTCCGTCTCCATCAGAGCTCTTGGGTGGCCAGGTGCATTTTTTTTTTTATTTTAAAGTAGGCTATGGGATCCCTGGGTGGCGCAGCGGTTTGGCGCCTGCCTTTGGCCCAGGGTGTGATCCTGGAGACCCGGGATCGAATCCCACATCGGGCTCCTGGTGCATGGAGCCTGCTTCTCCCTCTGCCTGTGTCTCTGCCTCTCTCTCTCTCTCTCACTGTGTGCCTATCATGAATAAAAATAAATAAATAAATAAATAAGAATTTATTTTAAGTAGGCTCGACGTCCAACATGGGGCTTGAGCTCACTACCATGGGATCAAGATTCCTAGCCAGATGCCTCTGTGAGAAGCATGTGGAAAGGGATCTGTCTTCTGAGCAGGTCTCAGCAGTGGACTTAAGACATTCAGTAAACTCTGTTGTGAACAGACATGCCATCATCCAGGCTTTGTGGTGCCCTTTCTGGAGCACAGATGGAGTAGATTCAACATCATTCCTGGGATTTTCAGAATGGTCAACGAGCCTCTGCTTCAGCTCACAGTCACCAGCCACTTCAGGCCCTAGTAAGAGAGACAGCCTGTCCTCTGAAGCTGGGAAGCCAGACACTGACCTCTCCTCTCGAGCCACGGAAGCCCTAGATGCCAACTCTTCCCACAGAAGGCTGTTTCGTCTACATCGAAAATCTGTTGGTTAGCGTAGCACCTTCAGTGATTCTCTCAGCTAGATCTTCTGGAGAATGTGCTGCTTCACCTCGCACTTTTCTGTTACAAAGAGACGGCTTCTTTCCCCACACCTCACACACCACCCTCTGCTCACTCTAGACGGTGCTCCGGCAGCTCCCTCCCCTTTCTGGGCCTGGATCTGGAGGAGACTTCGGCTTTAGGGGATGCTGTGGCTGCTCTGAGGTTCGGTCCAGACCACTCAGACCTCCTCCACATCAGCCAGTCAGCTTCCTCATCGTCCGTGTGTTCACTGGAAGAGCGCTCTGCATCTCCTTCAAGAACGTTGCCTCTGCGTTCACAACGTGGCTAACCGTCTGGTGCTAGAGGCTGAGGCTTTGACTGTCTTAGTGCTGGACACGCCCTGCTGGCTCCTGACTCTAGGCCTCAGGGGTGCCGACTCCCTCTCCCCTGGACACGTAGAGGCCAGCATCGAGTTATTAACTGGCCTAATTGCCATACTGTTGTGTCTCAGGGAGGAGGAAGGCCCTGCGGGGAGGGACAGAGACGAGGAACTGTGGCAGTGGGCAATCGTAACACACGGTGACCAAGTTTGCCATCTTATGTGGATGCAGTCTGTGACACCTCCCGACAATGATTATGGTAACGTCAACGATCACTCATCACAGGTCACCGTAGAAACATAATAACGGAAACGCTTTAGATATTGTGAGAATCACCAAAAAATGACACCGAGATATGAGGTAGCAAATGCTATTGGAAAACTAGTACCAACACAGGGTTCCCACAGACCCTCCGTTTGTAAAAACCCAATAGCTGTGAAGCACAACCCAGCCGAATGCAGTGAAACGAGGTACGCCTGTGTGAGGGAAGAGTAAGGGAGCAGGCTAGCGTTTCACACTAAGTACGTTGCAAAACATGAAGAAAAATATACTTTAGGTGGTCTTGGAGAAATAATTGGAATTTGTTTATGGGAAAAGTGAAAAGAGAATTTCAAATTTATGACCAAAGTGAGGTATGTGGATCACAGGAGGATGTAAATAATTGCAGCTTGTCTGTCCATGTGTCCCCTTGGATCTGTGGCAAGCTCGTTTCCCGTCTGAGGATGGAGCGCTGAAAAGACACGTACTTCTGACTTCTTCGTTCTCCCTGTTCCCAGACTGGGGCAGCCGGTGCTGGTGGGAGGATGGCGCTGCTGGGGGGACTGCACTAGTGGGAGGATTGCAGCAGCCCACTTCAGGTACAGCTCATGGGGCCCTTCCCTGAGGCCTGAGCACAGTCAGACCCATAGACAAAATGGCAAAAGGTGGCTTGCCAATGAAACCTGAGTTTTGGAAAGTGTGTGTGTGTGTGTGTGTGTGTGTGTGTGTGTGTGTCTGTGAGTGCATGCACGTGTGTGTTTCTGTGTGTGTGCCTCTATGTGCGTGTGCGTGGATGTGTATGTGTACATGTGTCTGTGTGTCTGTCCCTGTGCGTGCATTTGTCTCTGTGCGTCTGTGCATGGATGTGTGTGTGCGCATGTGTCTGTGGGTGTGTCTGTGTGCATGTCTCTTCGTGTGTGTCTGTGCATCTGTGTGTGCATGGATCTGTGTGTGTGTGTGCATGTGTCTGTATGTGTGTTTGTCTCTCCTTGTGCGTGCATGTGTCTTTGCATCTGTGTGTACATGGATATGTGTCTGTCCCTGTGTGTGCATGTGTTTCTGTGTGTGTCTGTGTGTGCATGGATGTGTGTGTCTTTGTGTGTGTGTGTGTGTGTGTCTCTGTGCATGCATGCATGTCTGGGGGAGGAGACATAAAGCGACAACTTACGCATCAGCATTGACATCACAGGAGTAACACAGTGGTTGTTACTGTCTTTCCCTGATGTGAGGCCTCTCTAGCTCGCTGTTTCTCAGCATGTGGTCTGTGTCCTGCCAACACCAATGTCACCTGGACCCCCAGGGTAGCTGCTGTCCTCATCCTGAGCCCACGCCCAAAAGCACTGGATCACTCTCTGGCCAGGGGGGCAAGGGAGGTGCTGTGAACAAATTCTTTTGGTGGTCCTCAAGCTCACTGAAGTCAGAGAACTTCTCTGGTTCCTTTACTCTGGAGACTTTGCTTTTTTTCCAAAATCACCATGTGTGTCTCATACTTTCAGGCGAGACAGCACTTGCCCACCTTTGGTTTTTAGACACAGCCTAGAGAGTTTCTAGCTCCTTGCAAGTGCTCCTCCGTAAATAGCACACCACAGATGAGGGTGTAATCCTGAGTCCCCGGATTGAAAAGCCAACTTGGAACGCATCTACACTGGAGAATCTGCTTTCAGAGCAGAAGCATCTATATGCGCTTTGTGGGAGTTTTGTTTTGATCGGATGAGTACAGCTCACAGACTGAATGATCATCTGGCGCAGATTGACAGAAACAGTCTGTATGCCGCTCGTCAGCCTGCTCTGGCATTCATGCTTCCGTGCTTTCTGGATATAAACCAAACCAGGACTAAGTCATTAGGCCCTGCACAGTGGTCATGGCCGCCTCAGCCTCCAGTGGGTCACATCAGGAGCTCTGCATCTGGCCCATTTTAAAGGGAGAAACTGCCAAAGGTCTAAAATTAATCTTAACAGATGATAAAGGAGTGATCACTCTTATCTTCATGGTGTGAACCGCAGAACAAGCCTCTCAGGGCTCAGGAAGCAGTTTAAAAACTCTTTTCACCTTCTTGCTCTTTCTCTTAATAATTACTATTATGTTCACAATTACATTTAGTGCAATAAACTCGTTCTTCTAAAATAAATAAATAAACAAACAAACAAATAAATAAATAAACAAAGAAACAAACAAACTCGTTCTTCCCACCAAATCATAGGAAGTAGCTCTTACTTGACCTGGGAACTATCCAGGCATGTTCCAGTAAAGCACATGTCTTCTTCCCAGGGCCAGGCTTGCCCCTCTGGCATCTTGGCCTGGCTACCAGAAGCCTGGCCTCTGAGCCATGGGCAGAAAGCCCCTGCAGCTCACAGGTAGTTGTGACTGAACCAGGACAGGAGGTCCTAACGTGAACAGCTGAGAAGACATTTTGGAAGGACAGCGGGGCAGGGTCATTGACCTCAGGGGAGGGTGGCCAGGCTCTGCTGACCAGGTCTTCTTCCTACAGGAGGGGCAGCCATGAGAGCTGGTGTCAAAGAGGGAGACCGGATCATCAAAGTGAGTGCCCCTCTCCTCTGGCCAGCACCCTGGGTCCTCCCCCCTCACCACCACGGTGCTTGGCCACTGGGTTGGGGGGCAGTGCTGCAAGAGGACCCCAGGAATATGACAGCCAGTGAGGGCCAGCTACTAGGAGCCCCATCCTCGGCCCTTCTTGACTCTCTGTAACCAAGCTTCTGGAATGGATTTTATTTCCCCATTTAAGAAATGACGAAAACACACTTACAATAGGGAGGCTGAGACCAGTGAGGGGCCCAGGACCTTCGGACTCTGCGTCTGCACAGTACTGACCTGAGCACCTTGCCAGCTGCCACCTGCTGGAACCTGCCCTGATGCAGGGTATCCAGCACTGCCAATGCTGCATAGTGTCCTGGAAGCACTAAGGGAATCCTAGGCGAGGCTATGCCTTAGCTGTCCAGGGAGGAGGAGGCACACAGGGCAGTTGGCAGGTGCGGGCTAAGTGGCTGGACACTTACAGGAGCTGGGAAGGTAATACACAGCAGATGTGAATAGGAACAAACTGACATTGTGAATTTGAGGGACAGGTGACCAGAGGTGTCTAGGTAGCATTGGGAAGTGGCTTTGTAAGGAGTGGTGTTTTGAGCTTTGGGAGGAACCCCTGCATCCATCCTGATCACTCTGCGGTTTGTCCCCCAACAGGTGAATGGCACTATGGTGACCAACAGCTCACACCTGGAGGTAGTGAAGCTTATCAAATGTGAGTTGGAGAAAGCAGAGCACAGAAAGTAGGGGAGCAGGTGGGCGGAGGGAGCATGCCCTTCGACCCCGGGCCTCCTTTGTGGGTGAGAGAGGCAGCTGGGGTGACATGTTTAGTCTTGATCCACTGGGCCTGCCCCATTCCCTGCGGTCACTGCACATGGAGACACTGGTCTCTCATCAGACTCTACCTCCTTGCACGACCATGTAGACCATGTCCTGCTGCTACCAGGTCCCTCCAGGACCATTCATTCCTCTGTCCTCTCCATGGACAGCCTTCCTCATTGGTTTCCTATTTGGGGGAAAAAGCAAAAACACTCTGTTTGCAGCTAGGAAGACCCAGCCATCAGGGCTGCCCAGGTAATCCGACAGAAGCAACAGATGTTGAGGAAAGAGCGGATGGGTGGTCCGAGGAGGGCGGGATGCTAGTACCTTCTGTGTGCTAGGGCCTTGGCTGTATTCAGTGAAGTGAAGGGCCTGAGGGCCAGGCAGCCTCTGGGGAGTGCAGACCTATACCACGGTGGGTTTTCACTTGAGCATCCTGCGTGAAGAGGAACAAAGGGGTACCAGTGTGGACACAGGGCTGGCAGGCTGGAATTAGGGGACGGTGGGGCGTTAAAGTGTGGAGGATTTTTCTGCAGGATTTTAAGCTTCATGAAAGGAAAGGGGAGAGTACTCTCCACTCCCTGCCCAACTTTGTAGCTTCAGTGTCCGCCACCCAGGACAGTGCGCCCTGAGCAAGCCTCTCCTTGTCTGCCTACCTCCAGCTGGCGCCTACGTTGCACTGACCCTCCTGGGCTCTTCCCCCTTGTCCGTCGGTGTCTCTGGGCTGCAGCAGGACCCTGCCCCAGCCGGAGCCCCCCGAGTCACCCCTGTGGTCCCACCACCTCCGCCGCCGCCACCTCTGCCCCCCCCACAGCGCATCACGGGGCCCAGACCTCTGCAGGTATGGCCCTGCTGTCTTCCTGGCTTATCAGCCCATGGGGAGGAACGCAGGTGGTATTGAGGTGTGCTGGTGAGCAGAGGCAAGCTAGAGGTCCGACACAAGCATCAGAAAAGCAGAACAAAGGGAGGGCTGACTGCATGAAAGGAGCCACTCCATCCTTCGTGTCCTTCCACGTGAATGCATCCAGCCTCCCCGACAGCAGCAGGCAGCATGCTTCCTAAATGGGGGCAACCCTAGGGAGGCCCTCAGCGGTGCTGCTCGCCAGCAGAGAGTGCACACACCTCCAGGCACGGACAAAGGCATCCACTAAAGACTGCAGCCAGCCATGTTGTCGGAGTGTGGAATACCAACCAGTGGGGGAAAGGCTGCCTGAGGGGACGAAAGGGTAGGGAATCCAGAAAGAACAGGCAGCAGAGGGGGCGGACCCAGGACAGGGCAGAGGAAAGACGAGGTGTGGTTAGGAAAGGGGATGGGATCTGTCGTTGGACAGGCAGATGGAGCCAGCAGGTGCAGGGAGCCTGAGAGGGTTTGGTACCAGGGGTGGTTGCAACCACAGCTTCTGGGAAGTTCGGGAGAAACATTCCGTGTCTGAAGTCGGCTGGGGACCTGAGTGTCACTCAGACCTACAGACCACCCCCAACTGCTCTGCTGGCTTTTCCTGAGAATCAGCAGGTGGGAGAGAATTAATCTGGGAGGCTGCCCCTACCCTCACTACTGTCCATTCCGTTCCCAGGATCCTGAATTCCAGAAACATGCCACCCAGATCCTTCGGAATATGCTGAGGCAGGAGGAAAAGGAGTTACAGGTAAGGTCCTGCTTTGGGCAGTCAGCCACAGCCTTACACATGGGACACAGCCCATTGTGGCCAAACCTCAGCACCCAAATTTGCTGTCCACGGAATAGTTGTCCCTGCCTCATGCCGCCAGGTGTTGGAATGGGGAGAACACTCTGAGGGAACAGAGAGCTGAGGGAGGCCAGCAGGCTGCCAGCAGGGGGACCCCCGTTGGTGGAGGGGGTGCAGCAGGGTAGCCAAGTTCTGTCCCGGCCCCTTCTTTAATGTTCAGCACGTTTCCAGAAGTGTCTGCTGCATGTAAAGCATTGTTCTAGGTCCTGTGGTACACAGATGTGGGAAGATTAGACAGTTCTTGCCTTCCATATGACTATTCTGTAATGGAAGAAATTCATACTATGGTAGGAGAGTCAGGGGACAAGGAAGAGAGCAATCCATGAAGGATGGGGGATGGAGGGAGACTCAGGGAGAGAGCTGTATTTCAGCTGGGCCTTGAAGCGTGGGCCTTCTGTGGGCAAAACAGATGGGGAGGGTCTGCTGGCAAGTGGACAGCACAGGCCAAATACACAGACATGTGAAAATACACTCCTGTGTTTGGCAGGCATTGAGCTCCTGCTATGTGCTAGGTGCTCGTGTTGTGGCGGGGTAGAACAGGTGATGCTGGGGCAGAAGGCAGAAAGGTTATACAGGTAAGTGAGAGGTGGAGCTTTCCTTTATGGAGTTTGTGATCCAGTCGGGTATCGAATGGATAAAGACAGACTCCTACCACGTTATCAAAAGTGCAGATAACTCACGTAGCAGCAGGTGTCATGGAATGGTCAGGACAGACCTGTAGGTCAGAGGAGAGAAGTCAGAGTCCAGAAACTAAACCATGCAAATATGGACATTTGAATTTTGACAAGGTGTCCAGACCATGTCCTAGAGAAAGTAGTCTTCCACAAACGGTGCTGGGGCAACTGGCCATCCACATGCACAGAACAAATGTGGATCTGTACCTCACACAGTAAACAGTCTAATCCCAAAATGTAAGAACCAGAACTATTTTTTAAAACTGCAAAACTCAAAAAAAAAGTAAAAAAAAAATAAAATAAATAAAATAAAAAAAATAAAACTGCAAAACTCTCAGAAGTAAACACAAAAACTCTCAGAAGTTTACACAAATGTAAATCTTCATGGCTTTGGATTAGGCAGTGTTTCCTTAGTGGCACCAAAGTAGAAACAACCAAAACATAATAAATTGGATTTTATCCAAATTTAAAAGCTTTGTGCATCAAAGGACACAAGTAAAAAAGACAACCCATGGGACGGGAGAAAGTAGTTGCAACTCATTATATCTGATCAAGTTCTAGTGCCAGAATATGCAAAGGACTCTTTAAAGGTAACAATAAAAGGACACACGAGCCACTTTAAAAGTTGGCAAAGGATTTGGATAAGATAGTCCAGTAAGAAGCATGAAAGCAAGAAAGATGGCAAAGAAGCTCATGGCAAGATACTCACCATCATTAGTCATCCGGTGATTCTAATCAAAACTGTACCATGTCACTCCACACCCACCAGCATGGTTAGAGCCAAAATAGCAGAAAGTATCAGTTGTTGGTAAGAGTGGAGAAATCAGAGAAATACTTGTTTTATGTTCTGTCTGCGTGCTCATTATCCTAATGGATTCCCACCATTGCTGGTGAGGACATGAAGTTACACAGCCACTGCACCCAGCGGTTTGGCAGCTTTTCAGAATGGTCAGCACACAGGAGCGCAGAGAACCGATCCATCAGTCCCCCTCCTAGGTACAACCCAGAATGGAAAACATACATCCAGACACAAACCTATAAGTGGTGGGCATTCCTAATAGTCTTAATCACAACAGGCCCAAAGCAGAAACAACCCCAAAGTTAATCAGTAGCCCAACAGGCAGACCAGGGTAGTCTGTCTGGATGATGAGATGGTACTCGGCCACCACCAGGTGTGAAGCAGTGACGCACATGCTGCAACACAGAGGAACCCTGAGCACGTGAGGCTTGGTGGGAGGAGCCAGGCCCACAAGGCCACAGGTTATGTGAGTCCCTTTAAGTAGAAGTCCAGAACAGGTAAGTCTCTGAGGACAGAACATAAATTAGTGGTTGCAGGAGTGGAGGAGGGGAGAAGTAGGGAATAACCACCATCCTGTCAGGTGGTAGCCATATTCTAGAACTCCATGGTGGAGGCTGTTGTCAACACTGCCCATGCATGCAGACCACTGAACTGTACATTTTGAAATGATGAGGTTTATTTTCTGTGAATTACATGTCATTAAATTCTAAAATACATTTAAGTACAAGGAAGCCCAAAAGAAGGAATAATCATGCAGTAATCCCGTAGGGCTTTCTGAGGTGGCATTTGAATTTGGATTCAGTCTGTTTCACTCTGGAGAGTGCGTTGGGCCTTGACTTCCCTGCCAAGCTTGGAGTTTATCTTGAAAACCATGGGATGGGTCAAGATTTTGAGCTGGGGAGTGATCACATCTCCAAAGCAGTGTTCTCCGGAGAAGTGTGTTCAGTGCATGGATGTGCCAGGAGACCATCTTCAGGATGCTGTGGGAGATTGAACAGGAATGCTAGGACTCAGTACAGAAAGACACGGGGGGGCCACGGGGGACATCTCAGAGGTCAGATGGGTGACAGATTGCTTGCCAGGGGGCAGTAACAGGGCAGAAAACAGAAGATGTGCCAAGTTTGGATGCCCTGACAGCTGTGATGCCATTGGCCGGGGGGGAGGGTGGGTAGCGTGGAGGGCAGGGCGGGGTCTAGGGAGAGACGTGGAGGTCAGCTCTGGGAGCCCAGGGAACATTGAGACATAAAGACCGTCGACCAGCCCTGTAGATGTGAGAGGTTGGAGCCTCAAAGGAAAGGCAGGGTTGAGATAGAGCTCAGGTGCGCCCTCAGCACAGAGGTGGTCAGAACTGAGGACCAGGTGGGATCACCAAGGGCGCCAGTGCACAGGACAGAGAGCGGGTAGAATTTTGGAAGTCCAGCACTTTATAGCACAGCTGCCTCTCCCATCCCTGTGTATTTGCTGTTACATTCAGATTTTAATTAATTGTTCTTCTCCCCATTGGACTAAGTAACGTGAAGGCTAGGACCGTGCCACGTGTCCCCTGCACACAAGCTTGCTGTGGATGCAAGTGGTGCCTGAGGCCTACCCAAGTTACAGGGTGCAGGGACTGGGCGAGGCTGCAGGCAGGCCATGAGGGAGGGTGGGGGCACCAGGATGGCCTTCCATGGAGGCGGTGCCCAAGAGGTGACAGCTGAGGCCAGGCCACTGGGTCATCAGGCTCCCTGAAGGAGGTGGAGGAATGAGACTGTGCAGGCCGCAGGCTCTGGGTCCCGAGGGTCAAGCCCTGGCTGGAGACACATCGTGGAAGGAAAGAGAGGACTGAGGCAGCGGCTTAGAGGGTAATCAGAGTTGATGGAAGAGCTTCATGGCAATGGCTGGTTTTGTTTTAAGACCAGAAAGGAGGGACAGCTGGGTGGCTCAGTGGTAGACCGTCTGCCTTTGGCTCAGGGCGTGATTCTGGGGTCCTGGGATCAAGTCCCACATCGGGCTCCCCTTAGGAAGCCTGCTTCTCCTTCTGCCTATGTCTCTGCCACTCTCTGTCTCTCATGAATAAATAAAGTCTTTTTTTAAAAAAAAGAGAGAGAGACCAGAAAGGAGTGTTACATGCAAGATGAGGTCATGGAGCTGTCGAATGGGAGACAGAGGGTGCGAACAGTGTCAGAAGAGCCCCGGCGGCTGGAGGCAGAGCTGCTCTGTGGGCCCAGGGTGGGGAGGCCACACGTATGTGCAGTGCAGCTGGGAAGCTCCACCAGAGGATGGCGCCCGCGGAGGCTGAGGGCTGAGGGATTGGTAAACCGAGGTTGTCAGGTATCAGAGGGGCCCTGGATGAGCTTAGAGAATGTGTCTGCACGCCGGCTTTATTTCATTGTGTGACAAGCCAGCCGTATGGAGCACTTCCTTATGTGGTGCGATAGTAGCTATCTCCTGCTAAGGCTTCACAGGCAGTCTCGTTCAGGTCTCCCTACAGTCCCGCAGGCAGGGACCATCATCTCCATTATCCGTGAGGATGCAGGAAACGTCCTTGTCAGGTCTACACTACTAGTGAGCACAGATGACAGAGTTCAGGGGCAGGCCTCCCCATTTGCAAAACCCAGGCTCTAAGCTCTAAGTGCACACCAGGTGAGCTCCAGGTGAGCATCTGAGCAGCTCCCCCTGCACCCAAGGCCAGAGAGGGCTCCTGAGACTGATGGCGTGAGCTCCCTGTGTGTGCTGCTCTGCACAGACACTGAACATCTGACACGAGCAGGAGCTGAGGAAGACCTCTGTAGGATGAGGCGTAGGCCCAGCCTGGATGGTGCTTCAGACTGGACGGGCCTTTGTGTCCCGTCTTCTTTCTCCAGTTACTCTCTGTATTGTTTCTCACCATCTCTACACCTCCCTCTTCTGTCCAAGGGTGAGCTTACCTGCATCTCCTAAAGGTAGAGCTCCTATCTCTCCTCCTTGTCTGGGGTAACTGCCTGTTCTCCCCCTATGAGTTGTCCATTCTCCACTAACCATAACCCCTTCTGCCTTTCCCTCCCTGTCCTGGCTCATCCCCAGCGTATCTGTGAGGTGTACAGCCGGAACCCTGCCAGCCCACTTGAGGAGCAGATCGAAGGTGCCCGGAGGCGCGTCACGCAGTTACAGCTGAAGATTCAGCAGGAGATGGGTGGCTTCGTGGTGAGTGAAGCAGGCCAGGCTTCAGGAAGGGCACCGTCGTGCAGGTGGTCATGCAGGTGGATGAGGGCACAGTAGGAGGAAAGCCAGGGTTGAGGCTTCCTGAGTCATGCAGGACCCCAGGGCTGAATAGGGAGCATTCAGTACTTAATAAACAAACAAAAGGCAGCAATTCTTCATGTAGCGCCAAAGGGGCTGAGCGCTGTGTGGGTGCCGCTGGGGGGGCCCTTTCTTGCCCTCCTAGAGCCTGCTGCAGCGGTGGAAAAAAATACATATAAATTCAATCGACTGTTGGCTTTAGTCTCCTCATTATCTGCTCCCTGCGGGTGGTGTGCCTATTCCCGCACCGATCTTACTTGGCTGCGTGTTCTGCGGACAGTGGGTCTCCTCGAAGACTGCAGGCGCTTCCACATCAGCCAGAGCATCAGATCCCCGCTGTGGAGGGTGGTCTGTAGCAGCAGGGACCTCTCTGTGGGAAACCCCAGAGAGGAGACGTCTTTACCTGATCTGCTCAAGGACCTTGTTCCTAGTGTGCTGCTGCAACTCCATCGGGCCTCAGTCCTTGGGGCAAGTAAGGAACTCTCCAGAAACTGCAGTTTCCAAGAATAATAGTTCCCAAAGCCAACAGAGGTTCTTTGAGGATTATCTACTTTCTTTTTCTTTTTTTTTTTTTTCAAGATTTTATTTATTTATTCAGAGGCAGAGAGAGAGAGACAGAGACACAGGCAGAGGGGGAAGCAGGCTCCATACAGGGAGCCCGACATGGGACTCGATCCTGGGTCTCCAGGATCAAGCCCTGGGCTGAAGGTGGCGCTAAACTGCTGAGCCACCGGGGCTGCCCTCTTTTTTTTTTTTTAAGATTTTATTTATTCATGAGAGTCACAGAGAGACAGAGAGGCAGAGGGAGAAGCAAGCTCCATGCAGGGAGCCCGATGTGGGACCTGATCAGGGACTCCAGGACCACGCCCTGGGCCAAAGGCAGGCGCTAAACCACTGACCCAGGGATCCCCTATCTACTTTTTTATTTTTTTTTATTTTTATTTTTTATGATAGTCACACAGAGAGAGAGAGAGAGGCGCAGAGACACAGGCAGAGGGAGAAGCAGGCTCCATGCACCGGGAGCCCGACGTGGGATTCGATCCCGGGTCTCCAGGATCACGCCCTGGGCCAAAGGCAGGCGCCAAACCGCTGCGCCACCCAGGGATCCCCCAATATACTTTTTTAGAACATCCAGATCAAAATGTCTAGGAACCACAGGCTAATTGAATTTAAACTGTTCTGTTTTCTGAAGGGCACACCCATGTCACATGGTTGATAGCTCAGGTCCTGAGCTCACCAGCTGTGAGACTCTCGGGCAGGTTAGGTCCCCCTGGAAGTCCCAGGGTCTTCGTTTGTGAATTGGAAATCCCAGCAGGACCTGGCCAGTGGGGTTATGGTCGGAGGCGAAGTGTGCCCCCATCCTAGGCCGTACGTGTTTGCCCCTGCTGCTGCGCTCCTGTGCCCCACAGGGCAGAGAGTCCAGAAGTCCAGTCCAGTCCAGAGCTGCGGGTCTGAGCGCCAGCTGGGCTCCAGTTCTCCCACTGTGCAACTTGGGCAAGTCATGCACCATCTCTGGGCTCCTGTTTCCTCACTGGTCACATAGGCCTCGGAGTACCTACCTTGGAGCTGCCAAAAGCCTAAGTGAGACCCAGAAAAGCTTGCAGGCAGGTGGTCGTCCAAGCCCTGAGGCCACTAGAGGCGGGCCCTCCCCTCCCCTCAGTGTCCGGCTGGAGTTCTTTGCACTCCTTGATGGGAAGCTCCTTCTGTGTTCAGCCCCCCAAGGCCGAGAGTGCTGTGGGGTCTGGGGGGATAAATCCATGAGTTCTGAGACTTCCCCTAAGGGCAAAGCTCCCTCTCCACCATTAGGGGTCACTGTCTCCAATGACCAAGGAAGCAGTAGCTCCTCCTTCTGGGCATTTTTAAGGCAATGGAGCAGAAAAAGCCACTAATGGCAGCAGATATTATCTGCTGAGACGGAGGGAAGAGCTGACTACAGGAGGTACCAAGGAGGGAGAGCTTTGCAGACCAAGCCCACCCTTGGGACTTTTTCTTTTTTAGGACATACCCACCCTATACAGTGACACCAGCCAGAGAGCATCAGAAGGTAAGTATCCCCTCACCCCATGTCTCCAACCCAGGGTCCTCACTTGTTGTCCCCATGAGGCAGATTCAGGAAAGACAGACTAACCCTGGCTCTCTAGGGATTAGGCTGGGGAGACAAAGCATGTCCACACACAGGGAGGGGGCAGCTTCTGCTGTCATCATGACAGCATAGCCATCGCACCTACTGGTAAGTACTGGGGCGGTCCTAGGAGGACAAGGATCCAGACCCTACCTTGCCCCCCAGCCCCTGGCATGCTCTTGTGATAAGAAGTGAGTCAGGCTAGAAGAGTGGTGGGTGTGAGTTGAAGGTTAGACTCGTGGTCACATGGAGCCGTGGTGTCTCTAGGAGGTGATGTGGCCAGAACACAGGCCTACAGGGAGGCGAAAGCCAGGTGTGGAGCATCTGACCTGAGGGCAATCAGGAGAGGAGGGAGGATGGCAGCTTCGCTTTCCTGTCCCACTCAGGCCTCCAGGCTGCAGCCCCCCTCCCCTGTAAACTGTTTCCTTCCCAGGCCGACTCTCTCTGGATTCCCAGGAGGGGGACAGTAGCTTGGACTCTGGGACGGAACGCCTCCCTTCCCTCAGTGAGGTGAGTGTCCACAAGGGCCAGCCCCGGCTGAAACCATGGTTGCATCCCAGTTCCCAAGGGTTTTAATCACTCCTATCTGGGTCCAAAAGGGTTTTCATGTGTGCTCTGCGCACAGGACCGTCAGACCCAGCACCTGTATTATCACAGCTCTGTTCTGTAAACAGTCACGGGGAGAGCAGTGTATGAACAGTAGCGAGCCTCAGTCATGGGAAACAGTGACCTGGCCGCACATGCAGGGCTTCCTGGCTGCGGCCACACCATCTGAGATGCGATGAGCCAGCTGAATCAGAGTGACAGCCTCTCTAGGTCCGTCACAGATCTCTAACAGCTCATCTTTTCTGGAGTGGTCAAAAACATTTCAGGTTTTAGCCCCACATTTCCTCTTAGCTATTATCTGTCTGCATATATAAACTTGCAAAGTACAAGTGGTTGGAAGAAGTAATAACGCTGTCAGCAAAATATCTGCTCAGCCAGGCTAATTAACACACTTAAACTCTAATTTTTTAATTTAATTTATTTATTTGAAAGAGAGACAGGTAGCAAGAGGGAGTGCACGCAGGTGGGGAGGAGAGGGAGAAGCAGTCTCCACACTGAGGAGGGAGCCTAATAAAGGGCGTGGTCCCGGGACCCCAGGATCATGAGCTGAGCTGAAGGCAGATACTTAACCGCTGAGCTATCCAGGTGCCACCAAACCCTAATTTTATTTTTTTTTCTACTTTTTTTTTTTTTTAAAAGATATTTATTCATGAGAGACAGAGAGGCAGAGACAGACAGAGGGAGAAGCAGGCTCCATGCAGGGAACTCAGTGTGGGATTCAATCCCAAATCCCCGGATCATGCCCTGAGCCAAAGGGAGATGCTCGACCGCTGAGCCACCCAGGTGTCCCATAAACCCTAATTTTAAATAATAGTTGGAATTGCATTTCCTCACTGCTGCTGTCTGTGGGAGGACGGTGAACATATGTGCAATGATCCATCTGTGGGAAAGACACCAAGAAGAGACAGGGTCTTAATTCATAGTTGATGTGTCCTGAGGGCTGGGCATCTGGGAGGTGACCTGGCTTCGAGGGGAAGGCTGTGGGCCAGGCTTAGGTTCCAGGATCAAGTCCAGGGAAGGACCCAATCACTGGGTCCCCTGCAAATCATCCTTTCCCAGTGTGAAGAGTGGGAGTAGTAGTATTATCTACCTCATGGCCATCGTGAGCCCAAGCAGGTGCCACACAGCCAAGGGCTCTGCATAGTGGCAGGCACAGGATAGGTACTGGGTAGGTGCCCCGGGGTGTGGGCATCTCCAGACCAGCTGAGGGTGTTTCTGAATGGGCTCTCTATTCCTCTAGGCACTGATGAATCGGAACTCGGCACTGTCGGACCCTGGGCTGGACAGTCCCCGAACCTCGCCTGTCATCATGGCCAGGGTGGCCCAGCACCACCGGCGGCAGGGCTCGGATGCACCAGGGCCCAGCACCAGTGAGCGGGTGAGGGTCAAGAGCTCCCTGCAGTTCTCCCTCCCTCCTTGAGAACCAGGTTACAAGGGCCCGGCTTTGAAGACTCCAGCTGAACCCCCTTGAAGGAAACTTTTCCCTGGAGAATGAAAGTGAAAGGAGAATGTGGCAGGAAGGGGTTTGGGAACAAAAGGCTATCGCAGGCTCTGCATGAGGACACAACACATCCATAGGGAAGGGACATCGAGAACAGATAGGGTTTGTGTGAGCGGCAGATAGGCTGGTTACGTGACTCCAGAATGCTCATGTTCAGTTTTCTCTTTGCTTTAGCAAAATCTATTTTCTTGCACAAAATCTTATTTACACACTAATATAGGCACCAAATAAAAGCTCAGCTACCCCAGGATGGGGCCTATTCAAGTCCACCCTCAGGGGCGCTGCCCTGGAGCCCCCAGGTCCTGAAAACCTGATGTGGAAGCCACTGCCCACAAAGCTAGACCTGGTCTGGGGGGACGGGAGTAGGGGGAGCACTTCTGGCTCAGGGCACAGAGCTTGCAGCCTGGGCCATCAAGGAGATTGCCTGTCAGTGGTGAGCCTGAAGCTAGGCCACTGAGCAATACAGCAAGAGCTCCTAATTTTGTACAATGATTCTTAGCATTCAGCAGCCACCACCATGGTGGCTTCTCCTATATCCTTGTACTGACTCTGTAATGTTACTCGATACTTTTTTAAAGCAAACTGACTCCTTAAAGCTTACGTTATTTGAACTCTGCCATGGTCCTGAATTAAAACCAGCATCATACACTATTTAGTGCTTTGATTTGATCTGAGAGGCAGAGGTGAGTTCAATTTGGGTCTGCAGGAGAAAAGGTAGGGATCCAATGTGTACTAGGATGCGTGGTGGCAGGGTACCAGCTGCCAGGCTGGACCCCTGAGGAAAAGCCTCTTTACGTCTCCCCACCCAGAGAGGAGGTGGGCATTGAATTCACTTGGTGAGAGAAAGCCACAGCAGACGGGCCACGCCAGGACTCTGCTTGATCAGGGCACCATGCAAGAGCGTGTTCTCCTGAGCACACGAGCTGCCTCCCCCTACGCCCTCCCTGGACTGCTGCATGGTCCTGCCCTGTGCACATCCTGCTCTGCAGCGAGGCCCCCCTCAGGTGGCCGACGGGAGCAGGTGAGAAGGACTCTGTCATGGAGTCCTGTCTTCCTTCTGACAACTGTTTTAGTTGTTATCTTTGAACCATAGGAGCAGCTCTAGCACGGCCTCCGATCCCGAATCGTAATCTGTGCTGATCAGGGCAGGGCTGGGGTGACAGTCCACTCTCAGTGGTGGCAATGGAACTTTTGGGAACTCAAACTTTCTGTTGCATAACTGTACAACGTCTGATCGTTTTCAATAATGAGCATCTTCTGCTTCTGTAGTGAGAAAAACTGCATATTTGTAAAGACTTTTAAAAAAATCCTCCCCCCTCACAACAAACAAATTCTGGTGTTTTCATGTTTCACCCAGGGGGCCAAGCAGAGCCAGGAGCGGCCGTCCAGCATCTCCCAGTGGGAGATGAGGAGGCCCAGGCTGTGGCCTACCTTTGCGTTGACTCTCTGTGGGCCTCACGTTTCCGCTTGTGAGTGAGTGCCAGACTCTGATCTCTGACAGACGTCCTGGGCCTCAGGTTCTGTGACTCCATCATTCTGAGTGACGAGTCTGTAAATACCCAGGAGCACAGGATGAGTGCGGAGCACCCGGGAGATGCTGTCAGGAGAAGCCACTTGAGCGAGTGGGGCGGGAGGACATCACAAGCGTGATCCAGGGAGGCTCCAGAGCAGGCCGTTCTCGGGGAATCCCTGGAAATGAGGTCAAACACGTTGAGTGGAAAACGTAGTGGGGAGAAAAGCTTATCCAGGGAAGCATCTGGAAGGCCTGTGCGGTATGAATGCTCTCATCATACCCGATGTTAGTGGCACACCAGTTAGGGTTAGGCTCTTGGTAGAACTGGTGTGAGGAAGAAAGCCAAGCTGAGAAGCGTGGGTTTGAGACGGGTCATGGAGATCTACCACAGACCCCTGAGCAGCCCGCCATGGGGAGAGATCCACTCCATCTGCTTTGCTTGAGGAGGCAGATGTGGGCCTCCAGCTGTCCTGTCACAAAGACCTAGCCTGTGTGACCACAGGCCCTAGTACACGCTGTAGTGGGTGCGGCGTGGCTGCCGAGGGGCCAGCAGAGCCCCAAGCCTGCAGTCACCCGAACTTTCGCAAACAGGAAGAACGCGCCTTCTGTTGCTTCCCATCCCCGTGCACATGCACTGCAGCGGCCCTGCCCATGAGCACTTGACTTTTGCAAGTGGAAATCGTGGTTCTATCCTCTGAGATTTGGGGGAGGTGAGGAGATGCCAGCGTCCACCAGACCCATGTGGCCCTCCTTGCCGGTGCTGTGCTGTGGCACATGGGTGTCGTGGAAGGCTTGGACGCCTGTCCCCTAACCTTGCCCCCACCCCTGGACTCTCACCAGGGCACAGACCAGAGCCCAAAGCCTTTAATCATTGGCCCAGAGGAAGACTACGACCCGGGTTATTTCAACAACGAGGTAACGGTTTCCTGGTTTTCTCCTTTCGTCATGGTCACGCCAGCTGTTGTTGAATAGAAGCAGTTAGAGCCGCCCTAGCCGTGAGGGGGCGTAGGGTGGGTGCCACAGCCTGTGAGCCCCGGCGGCAGGGGCCATGGGGGCCAAGCTGCAGCAGGGCGTGCTGCTGTGCCCCACCTCCGTGCACTCCAGCCACCCCTGTCCTTCTGCCCTCCAGAGCGACATCGTGTTCCAAGACCTTGAGAAGCTGAAGGCACGGCCAGCTCACCTGGGTGTTTTCCTGCGCTATATCTTCTCTCAGGCAGACCCCAGTCCGCTGGTGAGTCAGAAGCATCCGTCTTGACCATTGCGGGCACTGGCAGGCAGCCCAGGGACAGACAAAACACGGAAGGTGCTGTTTAGGCAGGCAGGACTGTACACACCAGCCGCATCCCCTGCATGGGGAGGCCAGGGGAGCTGCCATCATGCTCAGTCCGCTTAGAGCACATGGTCTTTCTAGAGTTGGAGTTGCAGGTACACAACGTGACCATGGGGAGGCTTAGCAGAGGGGCAAAGTGACAAAGGTGATGACAGGGTGTTAGAGACAGTGCCCAGGGATGGGGCTGAGGACCGGTGACCTCCACAGCTTCTCTCAATCTGTTCCGTGCTCAGAAGAGTTGGACGGGGGTGACCACCATTGGGAGCCACAGTCAACACTGAGCACCTGAGTGAAGACCAGGCACGTGACAGAGAGTAAAACAGAAACCCTTAGAGAACAAGACACAAATGAGTAGGAGGCAAAGCAAGTGCGGAGGGAGCTCAGGGTCCAGGGGTACCGTGCTGGAAGCTGAGGGACTAGGGCTCGGCACCCACACCAGGGCCTCTCAGCCTTGGTGTGGCCACATTCATTGAGCTGTAGGATTTCCTGTTGGGGGGCTGTCCTGTGCTCTTGGTTCTCAGCACATCACAAGGCTGCACCCACCAGGAGCCCCGGCATCTCTCCAAAGAAGGGTCATGTGTGTCTCCAGGCCTCACCCATCGTTCTGGGGCCAGAATCAGTCCTCCTGGAGTAGGGGGCATGAGAACCCCTGCTCCAACCCATTTCCTTTCCTCCTAGCTTTTTTACTTGTGCGCAGAGGTTTATCAGCAGACAAACCCCAAGGATTCCCGAGGCTTAGGAAAAGACATCTGGAATATTTTCCTGGAGAAGAATGCGGTAAGGCAGCCATGGATTGAATTACAGTGTTTCTGTCTCTTAGGGCCACATGGGAGCAGAGGGAAAAGGAAGCCACACATTGAGGCCGGACAGAGACAGGGTCTTGAGAAGTTGGAGCTGAGAGCTGAGGGCTCCCGGGTCCTGTTCACGGGACTGCTCTCAACCCTGAGCTCCTCACCCGACCCATTTGTTCCATGTGTGGCAAGGTAGAAGGCACATGGCCTGTCCCCTGGATCAGTGCTGCTTCCCCCCAACCCTCCCTGCCCGCCCATCTGGGGACGAAGCAGCAGAGGCCCAGAGGCCACCTGATGGGGGTTGAGATCAGTGAGCCAAGAGGAGCCAGGGCTCTGATACTTCGCTGGACTTGGGGTACTGCCAAGAGTGGGGTTCGTAGGGAGGAGGCCCGGAGTGTGCGGGCAGAGGTGGGCTGTGCGTGTGGACAGGGCAGCATGTTGTAGGCCTGTCAGACCAGCTATGATAATTCCCAAATGACTCGAGTCTTTCAGTTCCAAGATGTAAGCTCTCAAGATTGAGATTGAGGACCAAAGTGTGTTCCTCGGAATTTGGTGTCTATCCCCACAAGTAGGCCTGGAGGAGGGGTGGCAGCTGCTGCCTGTGCCTTGGGGCTGTGAACCCAGCCTGTCCCCGCATTCTGGTCCTCGAGCTCTGTGCTCCCTGAGATAACTCGGCAACCTGAGGACACAGTAAAATTTTCTTCATTGTTGCTGAGTTGGCACCAGTGGGGAACTTGCACAGCTGCCCCAGAAGATGGCCCACTGGCCCCATAGCTCTAGAGTTTATTTCTCAAAATGTAACCTCAAGTGCAGGCTCACAGGGGAAAAGAAGACAGGATGCGGGGTAGGGAAGGAGACTAGGGTATTGGGGGCCCTCCTGGCAGCGGGCTGAGGTCTCCGCAAGCCCTGGGCTGTGGGCCTCACCATTCCCCCTTCTCTCTTCTAGCCACTGAGAGTAAAGGTCCCAGAGATGTTGCAAGCTGAAATTGGTAAGTTGGCTTATGGGCCAGTTAGTCTTGTCCTGGGTCCCAAGGGCTTCAGAGCACAGAGGGCGCGTAGCCCATCCTTGGGCACCCCTTCTCTAGGATCGGGGAGCAGGGGCAGTTCCTCCCGAGCGCCTTAAGCCTCATGGTGGCTGACAGACAAGCACCTAGGGACAGGCCCCACCTGGGGGGCGTGTCCCAGAAAGACATGACCCTGTCACACTTGCGCTCGTTTCTGCCAGCCGTCCCCAGTACCTTCCTGGGCCCAGCGAGGCCATCTGGATGAAGGGGCAGTTAGACTAGAGGAATTCCCAAGCCTGGTCGCTCATCAGTATCCCTTGGGGAACTCTGAAAAATCCAGAAACCAGGAACTTGATCCATCACACCTCGGGATTGGGCTCTGGATGGAGCGTTTGTGTTTCTGTAAGTTCCTCACCAGTCCTGGTGGCAGCTGACCCAGTGAGGACCCCCCTGGCTAGGTGGTTGCTCCATTCCCGTCTCACTCTCACGTCGTGACGAGGAGAGCTGAGGGGAAGGCAGCATAAGAGGCCATCCACCTGAGGAGCCAGGGTCCCAGGCAGCTTTCAAGAATGTAGGTGTCCCACGGCCAGAGGGTGAACAGAGCTGCTCCGGGGCCTTGTACTTGACCATGTGACCCTGCAACTCTGCCTCAGGGACAGGACAGACTCCATCCAGGGTCATGTGAAGTGCCTGCCCTCCTTAGCCTGTGCACTGGCCTGGCAACACCAAGGACAGGTTGGCACAGTGCCGTCGGAGGGCAGCCCTTGGCACATCTGATGACGGGACTTTAATGTTCCACATCATGGAGCCTAGGACGTCCAGGTGTTTTGTTCTTGCCTTGGGACCTGGATGACAGGGCTCCAGGCTTGGATTTAGGAGTGACCTGGTGGGTCCAGGCCTCCACCTCCCTTGGCTAATGGGAGGGCAGAGAGCCAGCCTCCCTCCGGGCCACAGGGCCTCAGCAGGCACGAGCCCCTGCTCCTGACACCCTATTTTCATCTTCCCTGGGTTCCCACCAGACTTGCGTCTACGCGGCAGTGAGGACATTCGCGCTGCCCTCCATGAAGCCCAGGAGGCGGCCATGCCTGAGATCCAGGAGCAGATCCAGGACTACAGGTTGCCGGGCCCCCACCCCTCTCTCTGGCTCCTCACCCATCCATCCCCCATGATGGGTGCCTCTTGTGGGTGCATGTTCCTCATCTCCTTGGGTACCTGCCGGGCATCTGTGTACATTTGTTTCTTTGTCTGGCTTAGAACAAAGCGCACCCTGGGGCTGGGCAGTCTGTACGGTGAGAACGACCTGCTGGACCTGGACGGGGACCCTCTCCGAGAACGCCACGTGGCTGAGAAGCAGCTGGCTGCGCTGGGAGACATACTGTGAGTGCCTGCCCCACACGCCCCCAGACATGTGGAAAGGATGCCAGTATGTTGTGGGTCTGTTTGTCGACCTCTCCCCACCAATGCCTGATCCTCCTCCCCCTGAAGGATGAGGGAGCCCGGCTCTCCTGCTGCCTCCCAGGCGAGGCCGGTGGCTCCCCTCTGGGCCTCTTCTGATCGCCCTGCCTCCGGCCTGGATGTCACATGGACCCAGCAGGTGGGCCACACTCTGGGTCTCCAGCAGGTGCTGCCTTCAAGAGGCAGACAAACTGGCCAGCAGGAGGGTGGACCATTTCTAATTGCATCTGAAGACTGGCCCACCTGAGTAAAGAACGTCTGACCCGATGGCAGTGCCTCCCCAGTCCCAACTTCAGGGCCACCATGTGACTTTTTGGGCTCATGTCAGGTTTACATAGCGCATGACCCTGGTCTCAGCTACAAATCCTGGGCAAGACGGTCTCCACGGCCTCTGTCAGCACTGCCATTCAGCAGCATTTTCAGAGTCTGCTCAAGGCTCCTGAGGTACATTAGCTGAACACCAGTTTCTATGGTGTTGATGTCATAGCGGGAAGAGAAAGCCATGTTTAATAAACAAGCAGGTTCTATAACATGTTCAAAATGAGGGGAAAGAGCAGGTGGAAGGAAGGGCTCAGGAGCACCAGAGCCTGGGGGTAGCAGTTTTAAATAGGGGGTCAGGGCGAGCTGCCCCAGAAAGTAACATCTGAGCAACCCAAGAATGTGAGGCCGTTACCCTTGAAGACATCTGGGGGAACAGCATCCCAGGCAGGGGAAGAGACCAGGCAAAGTAGGTGCATGCTTGACATGTACAGGGAGCAGAGAGCTGGAGGGCCAGAGCCCACTGAGGAGGCAGGTGCTGGCATCAGGTAACAGGAGGGCAGCCACAGAGCCGGGGATAGTCTGGCGGACCCTGGGTTTCACTCTCTGAGAATAGGGAGCGTGAGTGGGGCTTGGCTGTGAGTGGAAGCTGGTGGGAGCAAGGGAGAGTCCCAGATGAGGGCTCACACAGGAACCCACGTGGTAGAGGCTTGGACCAGAGCAGGGACAGGGGATGTGGTGAAAAGTGGTCAGTCCCAGGTGTATCTTGATGGTCGCGCAAACAGGCATTTCCTAAAAACTGAGTGTAGGTTGTGGGAGAGAGAAAAGTTGGGGAAGACTCCGCGCTTTGTACCTGAACCACCAGAAGGACAAGGTGCCATCGGCCGAAACCGATGGCCATGTGCAGGGCAGTTCAGGATAGCTAGTCTGGACTCCACTCTGGATGTGTTCAACCTGAGCTCACCCTCGAGGCTTGGGGACGCAGTCGCAGATACAGATGTGACAGCAGACCAAAGAGTGGGCTGCGGATGAGAGCACACGGTGGGTGTATTCCTGGAAACAACCCACCCGGCCTTCAGCCAGGCCCTGGGCCTTTCTGGGCCTGTTTACCCGACTGCTCCAGGGATGAGCGCAAAACCTGGCTGCGTTTATTTTGGGATCCTAACACCAAAGAGTCACGCGGTGTCACTGCTTCAACCCGCTTGTGATGGGGTGAAGCAGTGAAGCTTCAGTCTCCTCCACAGAGATCTAGCACCTACCTGTGTGTTACTTTGAGAACTCGATGAATTAATACATGTAAATATCTTTGGGCAGCACCGGGCCCATACTGGATCCTCCACCGTTAGTTGCTGTTACCATTTGCCTTGTAAATGGGTTTCTCTGGACCTGGTCTCAGGGTGCAACCACATCTGTCCTCCAGCCCTTCAGCTGGGCACATACAAACCGCTTACTCCATAATCCTTCAGCGGCTGTGTTTGCCCCCTCCCCTCCTTTTAGCCAGAAGGACGTCACCGTCGCTGTGCTGAGGCCCCCGAGGGAGTGAGGCCTCTCCCCTCCTAGGCCCCACGCTAGCTTGGAACTAAGACCCAAGAGTCGAGGTCTGGCCTCCCTCCCCCTCTGGCCCCCATCTTTCGTGTCTGCACAGCAGACATACCTGTGCCTTTCAGCATGAGTCACCTCTTTCCTTTTGTTCCAGGTCCAAGTATGAGGAGGACAGAAGGTGAGTGAGCGTGCGGAGTGCTTGCCATCTTCCGGTCACAGGGGCACCCCAGGCATTGGGGGTCACCATCTGAGGGTAGCCCCAGGTCACAACAGGGGTCATGAGGTCCAGGCCACAGCTGCTCGGGACCACTGCCCGGGGCAAGGGTCTACCATCACCCCCATGCGCCCATAGGCAGATGCCTTGTCACTACCTGAATGAATTAGCTCCATGTCTCCCCTTCCCTACTGCTTTCTCTCTTTTTTTTTTTCCTACTGCTTTCTCTTAAGCCACTGCAGAAAGTTATGGTAACAGGATGAGCTTCCCAGGAGTCCCTGCAGAGGGAAGCTGGGGTTCAGCACCTCTGCTCTCAGGCATGCGTTGAGGGTTTTTTGCAGCCTGTATGCAGCCAGCGTGCAAGTGAGCATGCACGTGCTTGAGCAGAAGGGGAGGCAGTGGGCTAGAGGTCTGTTTCAGAGTAGAGGAGGCCACAGCCAAAACCTTGGCTGCCATGAAACCACAAGTGCAGGATTGAGAGCCAGAGAGAGGTGCTTCCAGACACAGGCCCTGGATGGTTTCCCGTGTGGCATATGGTGGCTCTCTCTCTCCCTCCCTCCCTCTCTTTCTCTCCATCTCTCTCTCTTCCTCCCACCACCCCATACCTGGGTGCAAGGGTGGCGAAGGCAGAACCAGGCTGGCATCTCCCCCCTTTTCTCTGCCGCCTCCCCAGCATGGATGATGGAGGGCATCCTCCATGGGCCTCAACCGGTCCTCCAGGCCTGCCCAGGGCTTGTTGGCTTACATTATAGGGAACCGACAAGTCCCCCGCTGACCGCTCTTCTTATTTGGGAAGAGCTCTGCTTAGAGAAGGCATGAGGTTTGTCCTGGGAGTTCCACTAGTCCAGACTTTCAGGCAGTTCTGGCTGTGCCCCATGTGAAAACCCAGGCCTCCTGAATACCCCGACCCCAGACTGTCCTTCACCACCTGGATTTTGGAAGCAGGGCTCTGGCCCTTGGACTGCTGGCATGGGCAGCCCAAGCGTTCTGATTCCCACGCCTTCCTCTGTCTCCCAGCGCCCCCATGGACTTCGCCCTCAATACCTACATGAACCATGCCGGGCTCCGTGTCCGAGACGCGCGGTCTTCCAGCCTGGCTGAAAAGGCCCAGGCTGCACCTGACAAGGACAAGTGGCTGCCCTTCTTCCCAAAGACCAAGAAGGTGACAGAGCTGCTCAGAAAGTATCTTCTGGTGCAGCGGTTTATAGGGGGCAACCTGGGAAAGCCCTCCCCATCACTGCACTTGCCCCCCTGCTGCCTGTGCATGGGGCACCCGTGAGAACCCACAGACAAGGGCAAACCTGAGCCAGAAGCACCCGTGCTGCTCCCAGTTAGTTGTTGGGGGCGAGTCATGGGGCCAGGGGCCAAGGCTGGGGATTGGGCCTTCCCCAAATTCGGCAAATCTGTCTCAGCAGAGTAGCAACTCCAAAAAAGACAAGGATGCCTTGGAGGACAAGAGGCGGAACCCCATCCTCAAGTACATTGGGAAGCCCAAAAGCTCGTCGCAGAGCAGTGAGTACAGGGGTTTACGGCCTTGGGCAGGGGTGACTGGCACATCAGCAGATGGCCTTCTGATTTCCCAGCAGCCACGTGCCCATAGTCCACGTCTTGTCTGTGCTGCTTGTGGTCCCCTCTGTCCCCTCATCATGCTATGTGCTGGCTCCAGGGAGGGCCAGGGGACCAGGAAGCCAGGCTGGGCCCTGTGCTGGTCCCTGGGCTTTAGTCTAGGAACTCGGAGCCTGTTGTAGCTACTCCATAGCCACACAGATGAATCCCCTCTCCTTGCCCCACCTGGCAACACTGCTCTGCTGCCAGTAAACATGAGCTTTACCCTCATCGGTGGGCGTCATCTCTGCTGGGAGCACGTGGGGACCCTCATTGGGAAGTCTCAGGGACAGAAGTCTCGAGACTCCAGGCAGATAGGATGGCAGCAAGTTTGAGGTGCAGAGGCTCCCCTGATGCTGTCGTGTGCCTGGAACTTGGGTGAGCCAGTCATGGGTCTTCCCGGCTCTGTCATTGGTCTGGAACTTGCCGCTGGCCTCCCAGTCAGAATCCTCAGACCTCAGTATGAGTCTCAGGAATCTGGGAAGGGCAGGCCTCAAGGTGAGCTAGTGACCTTTCCTGACATTGCTGCCTGGGTTGAGGGTGAGGGTGGGACTTTCCTCAATCAGACCTGAGCTTGATCTCTACTTTTTCATTTTCCAGCTTGGTATAAGTTTTGTTTTGACTCTTAAAACATTAATTTGACTTTTCATGGTTTACTTTTGTTTTTGTTTTCTTTTAGCATTTCATATTCCCTTGTCCCCTGTGGAAGGTAAAAGGACCATTTTTGTGGGTTTTTCTTTGCTTTAGCTTTGAGTTTCCATCTCTCAAGTCTCTCCTTCTGTCCTTGTCCACCCTTCGTCTGTCCAACCCCTGTGTTCCGTGTACCCCCTGCCGCTCCAGGTGCCCTGGGACACGGCCCTCCCTCACGTCTCAGGAAATGGGCTCCAAAAGTCCAGAGCTCCAGGTGCACATGTGAGGCCACATCCCACACAAGCTCCTCAAATCTTTATTTCAGTTGAAATAATAACAGAAGTCCTCATTTTTGAGGGTCACACGGGCTTTCTTTAGTAGACAGCAGGTCTCTTAACAGTTCTTGGGGCCTTTTCTTGTTTCACCTGCTCTGCTTAAGCCCTGGGGCAAGGCACCTCCCCGCACCGCATACCTGCAGCCTTTAGAGAGAATGCCCCCCACACACAAGGCTGAGTGCCTCCTGGCATGTGAACCAAGGTCCTGTCAGTGAGGCCTGCCCCCACAAATACAGGCATGTGACTCATTGTCTGGGTCCTGCAAGGAGCCTGTTTACAGAGTATGGGATGCTATCGACAAACTGTCCGGTCACTAGAGTCATTTTATGTTAAGTGGCATTTAAAAATAATGATGTTCAAAATTATCTCGAAGTTTTAAATTTCCTAGATCTATTATGCTATTTTATTTATTTATTTTTTTAATTTTTATTTATTTATGATAGTCACACAGAGAGAGAGACAGAGACATAGGCAGAGGGAGAAGCAGGCTCCATGCACCGGGAGCCCGACGTGGGATTTGATCCCGGGTCTCCAGGATTGCGCTCGGGGCCAAAGGCAGGCGCCAAACCACTGCGCCACCCAGGGATCCCTATTATGCTATTTTAAACAAGAAAAATTTTTTAATTCTGAGAAAAGGTCTATAAAACGAAAAATAAAAGAATGGCCTTGACTCCCAGGCCCTTAATTATGTCCACACACCTTCTCCCATCCACCCTGCCCAAGAGTGAGCAGCCCTGCTGAGCTGCTCCTACAGGGTGAGGGGCCCCCAGCTCTGCCCAGTAGAGCTTCCCATGGTAGTTTAATGGTTAGCTTTGGTGTTCTCCAGTTCCCGGAACATCAGAAAAGTCTGTATACACATGTGAAGACCACCATTCCCCCTCAGGTAGATGCCTCAGCACTGGGGGCTGGCCCATTTCGGGTCATCAGCTGTCACTCCCAATTAGCAGTGACCAAATCTGATTGTTAATAACATGGAGTTTACTTCTCTTTCGTTTCACTGTCATCCAGAAAACAGAAGAAGGAGAACAAAGGACATCAGTGAAAAAATGCTTGTTCTAAAAAATTGTGCTCCTTCCTGCCTGTTTTTCCCTGTTACCCTTAGTTAACACCAGCCCCCTGAACTGTCCCTCATCACGGGTATAGCTATATACCCAGAACAAGTGGCCCACCATTGGGGGACAGGAAGCAGTGGGCTCAGCCAGGGCCCGCCTGTCACAGGGTGCTCCCAAGCCCCATGCCATCACCCAGCAGCATTGCTCAGGCTGTGTAGCCAACCCTGGGACAGAGCAGATGGCCCTGGTCTCCAGAGTGGGGGTAACGGTAACAGCCCCTTCCCGTAATTCATCCTCACAGCCACCTCTTACGCAGTTCTGGAAACCTGTGACCCCCACTGCCCACCTAAGGGATATTTAATTGTTCTGCTTACTCTGCCCTGGACGCTTTTTTTATGAAACATGAGTTTAGCTATTTATTTTTTATTTTCATTTATTTATTTGTTTAAAAGATTTTATTTATTTATTCATGAGAGACACAGAGAGAGAGGCAGAGACATAGGCAGTGGGAGAAGCAGGTTCCATGCAGGGAGCCCGACGTGGGACTCGATCTTGGGACTCCAGAATCACACCCTGAGCCAAAGGCACATGCTCAGCCACTGAGCCACCCAGGCATCCTCTGAGTTTAGCTATTTAGGGAGACTTAGAAGTTTTCATAGGTGGGACCCTGGTTAGTGTGGGTGAGACCAGGGCCTCACCCGCCTCCCCGACCCTCCTTGCTCTGCTGTTGGCCTCACGCAGATCAGCCCCAGAGCCAGGCTCCTGTCCTGAGGTCACTGGAGCTGAGCTCACTGTGTCTGAGGAGGAGAACTCCTCTGCAGACCCTCTGTGGGACATCTCATGAGTCTCTTTCTTACCTGCTCTCCTGTTTCTTTGAGCAAGAAACATGTGAGAGAGAGAGAGAGTGGGTGGCTGCCCATGCCTCCCTGCAGATTAGTGGGAGAAGCCCAGGAGCTAGTCTAGAGGACCAGGACCTCGTCTCTTGGTTCTTAGCCCAGTGGTGCTGTCATCCGTGCTTGCTCATCGCTCTGTCTTCTGGCCTAGATGGGAGCGAGGGTCCTGGGACACCATCCCTGAACAGAAAGCAGAGTAGCCTTCATTGTCTTTCTGCTTCCAGTCAAACCAGGCAACGTGAGGAACATCATTCAGCACTTTGAGAACAACCAGCCATATGATGCCCCAGAGCCTGGGACGCAGCGGCTCTCCACAGGAAGTTTTCCTGAGGACCTGCTGGAAAGTGACAGGTAACAGGCTGGGGGTGGCGGGGGGAAGGGGAGGCACTAGCCACCTTCCCAAGGAGGGGAGCCTGGGTCAATCCCAGCTGCTTCACCGACTCCACTGCACCATAAGGTTCCCACTGCAGAACTCACAACTCTTCCCACCACCTTCCCGCCTGGAGATCTTTAGGAAGAGATGTGCTGTATTGGTGGTCAGGCCAGCAAAAGGCAGAGGTGGGCCCCTGACCTCCCAGCCCAGGGACTGCTTCCCCTTAACATTTCCTCTGGATCCCCGGGCTACTCCGTAGCCTCTGTCCCGAGAACCAAGAATGAGCTAGATGGTGTAATAGAGCAGCTACTCCAGACACCCTAGGTGACAAGTTGGAGAAGACTGGGGCGGGGTGGCCAGGGGAGATCCTGGGAGATAGGGAGGTCACACAGAGATGGTTGTGGACACGAGGAGAGCTAGAGACTGGGTTCTGCAGCCTCAAAGCAAACCGCTCTTCCCCTCTCGAAAACAAGAAGGGGGCTGCACACTGTGGCATCTTGCATGCCTCCATCTCTGGCCAGGTTCTAATGAGACCCCTTCTCTGGCATTGGACTTACTCTTGACTGTGATGTGACAGCAGACATGTCCTGTTTCAAATCCTCTAGCCAGCACTTAGCGAAAACCACCCCTGGTCAGAAAGATGCGTATGCATTCCCTCAGTCACCCTCAAGCTGTATGTAGTACATGTGGTCCTGCATGTGCAGAAATAACACGTGCGTGCAACCAGGCCTGATCCACAGTGCAGGGGTGTTCCCGGCCTCCAGGTAGCGGCCTGGGTAGTCAAACCATTTTACCTGTGAAACCATCGTCACACCATGAGTCTGCCGTTCTGTGCATACAACGGGGTTCCTCTTGTTGCAGTAAGCCTCTGTAAGCTTCGGCTGTGTGGGAAGACTGCTGTAGGGAGAACTGACAAAAATTTAAGGGAAGAGGAAAGCTAAATTTGTCCTGAGCTGAGAGCTTGAGCTCTGATATTAGTGAATGAATTAAACATAGAAACCTGAGTTAAAGATGTGTCAAATGAAGTTATATAGACAGAATAACAGTATTTCGAGGATAACTTGAGGCCTTTTGCAAACTTGTGGTCTTAAAGTTGCTAGGTTATAATTGTGCCCTAAGACACTCACTCAATAGGCTCCCAATCCCCTGTCAGTGGCAGCCTTTGGCCTGGCCCATGGCCAGCTCACTGGCAATCTCAGCAGCACAGGGGGGCAGAGGCCAGCAGATAGAAGGCACACCTTAGTTCCAGAAGGTGGTATTTTAGGGATTAGGGGCCAGGGATGGGTGTGTGCCCCACTCATGGGGAAGAGTGTTACTCACTTAGGGGTTTGGGAAGGGAGGCACTCAGCTCTGCGGCTCCAAGAGCCTCGCTAGGTGGCTTGTCCCAGTGCTCAGGTGGCCCGCTGTGGGGCACTGCTGAAAGTGCTGTTAGCAGGCTCAGTTGGAGGCGTTCTAGCAGACCTCAGGGTATTCTGAGGGGATCAGCTGGCAGCGTGGCTTCTAACCCTCAGGACCCCAGGGCAGCTCCATGTGAGTCCTTGGCAGTTCAGAGAACCATTATAAATGCAGACTGAGATGCCTTGGCTCCTTCGCTGCAGCCCTGCTGTGCTTTTAAGCACCCTGCATGCTCTCCAGGCCACCTGTGGTCCTAGATGCAGGGCAGGATATAGATCAGTGATAGTATCAGCAAGAACCAACCCAGCAGGGCCGAGCAGGGAGGCACCATCCTGGGGCAGCCAGGGCTCAGAGATGCCAGCTGTCACAGGCCTCATGCACTGCAGGATGCAGAAAGGAGCAACACTCAGCCATCGGCACCTCAAGTCCCAGAGACATTTGATGGGCAAACATGGCAGGCCGCAGGCAGGCAGGTTCTTGCCAGTCTGTAGACAGGCCCTCCCGAGCCAGCCTGCCCCCAGGAAGGGAGTGGAAGCTAGGAAGTGTACTACAAGTTAAGAATGGGAGAATCTACACCACAGCTTGGAACGGCAAGAGCCTGGCAGCAGGTAGACTCTCTGCCAGGCCTGTGAGAAGGCCTGGATGGGTGTGTGAGGGTGACACCTATAGCTCCCTGGAGAAAATCCTATAAAAGGAGAACTCTGCCTCCAGCAGAGTCCATGGTGGGAGCTGACCTGCTCCAGCAGAGGGCAAGAGGGACTGGCCACCACACGGCCCAGAGCAGAACCAGAGACCTGGTAGTCCCTGGTAAGGGCCTCTGGTGCCCAAAGCTTTCCTGGAGTGTTTGGGGTCTTTGGCATCTGATCTGTTGATCCCAGATTTCACCTTCCTGGTGGGTCACAGGGAGGAGGAGAGGCAGGAGATGGTAGGGCAGCTGTGGGAGTTGTCACTGAGAAGTTTGGGCCCTGCAGGAGGCCACAAGCACCCCGAGTCAGGGCAGCCGATAAAAGCTGTCGGGGACGTGAGGCCCCAGGGTGTCTTCTTCTACTTCCCCAGCTCCCGCTCAGAGATTCGCTTGGGTCGTTCCGAGAGCTTGAAGGGTCGGGAGGAGATGAAGCGGTCTCGGAAGGCAGAGAATGTGCCCCGCTCTCGCAGCGACGTGGACATGGATGCAGCTGCAGAGGCGGCCCGCCTCCATCAGTCCGCCTCCTCCTCTGCCTCCAGCCTCTCCACCAGGTGGGCAGGACTCCAGCAGTCAGGGGCTGGGCTTGGCCCAGCGGGGTGGGTGCGACGGCACTGAGAACTGACCTCTCTCCGCAGGTCTCTGGAGAACCCAACCCCTCCCTTCACCCCCAAAATGGGCCGCAGGTGAGTGACAGCCCGGCCACGCTCCCGTCCCTAAGTGACTGGGTGGGTGCGCGTCTCCTCCTCACGGCCACTGGTTTCCCGCGGGCTCGGGACAAACAGCGCAGTACACAGGAAACGGAGGGACAGAACCCTTGTGTGAGTCCCTCCTCCTCGTGAAGCTGCGCCTTCTCCCCCAGGAGCATTGAGTCCCCCAGCCTGGGCTTCTGCACTGACGCCCTCCTCCCTCACCTCCTGGAGGATGACTTGGGTCAGCTGTCTGACCTAGAGCCCGAGCCTGACACCCAGAACTGGCAGCACACGGTGGGCAAGGACGTGGTGGCCGGCCTGAGCCAGAGGGAGATCGACCGGCAGGAGGTCATCAACGGTGAGGCCACGTGCCTCTGATGGGTGGGCAGTGAGTCGGGCAGCACCCAGGGACAGGGCCAGGCTGGGTCACCATTCCTGCCCTTGGGATGGGGGACATTGCCATACCATCTGACACCAGTGCTCGGTGGCCTCCGAAGTGAAGCGGTCGTCACTTTGGATACCTGCTGACCTCTTTTTTTTTTTTTTTGTCTTGCTCCCACTCTGTGACCACTCTGCTCAGAGCTGTTTGTGACAGAGGCCTCCCATCTGCGCACGCTCCGGGTACTGGACCTTATCTTCTACCAGCGGATGAAGAAGGAGAACCTGATGCCTCGGGAGGAGCTGGCCCGGCTCTTCCCCAACCTGCCCGAGCTCATAGAGATCCACAGTGAGGGGCCTCCCAGCCTGGCCCCTCCCCTTCCTCCCCACGCCCCCACCTCCACCCCCAGCCTTCAGGTCTCTGGCCTGTCACCCCAAGGCCTCCCTGAGCCCACAACCCTCTCTGCCAGAAAGCTTGATGTGTAACCTGAAACCAGGACTCAACTTCCCCTAGAAGCAGAGTGGCTCCCAAGCTAGCCCCCTGGCTCAGTTGCCAGGACCCTTCTCTCCGGGTCACAGAGGGTCCGGCTCTGCAGCTCCACCCCTGGCCTCTGAGTCTCTTCTCTCCTTGTCCCAGATTCCTGGTGTGAGGCCATGAGGAAGCTCCGAGAGGAGGGCCCTATTATTAGAGAGATCGGCGACCTCATGCTGGCTCGGGTAGGCTTGGAGGAGATGGGTCCCCCTTCGCACAGCTACAGGAGTGGCAGAGGGAGGGTGTGGGGGGCAGGGGTGTGACACCCAGGCCATGTCTTTTATGGCGGCCATGTCTTTTATGGCGCAGTTTGATGGCCCCGCCCGGGAGGAGCTCCAGCAGGTGGCCGCCCAGTTCTGCTCCTACCAGTCCATAGCCCTGGGACTCATCAAGACCAAGCAGCGCAAGGAGAGCCGCTTTCAGCTGTTCATGCAGGTGCATCCTCCCAAGTTAGAGCAGTCATGGCTCAGGACGGCTGAGGGGAAGAAGGTTAAGCAGAGATCTCTGGGGCTGCCCTCCCAGCCCCCTGCAGCAGGCATGCCAGCCTCTCCTCCACCCCAGAGGGTGGCCCAGTGACAACCCCCCCCATGCCCACCCCTGCCCCCTCACCCCACACCATTCCTCAGAAACACTGGCTCATGCCTGCTCTCTAGACAGACCGCTGCTCCCAGATTAGCAGACTCCAGATTAGCAGTCAGAAGGCCCACTTCACCTCCTAGTACCTGTGTGCACGCCGGCGGGGGGCAGCATCCTTATCTGGAGCATGGGCACAGTACCTGCTCAGTGGGGCTTGTGCAGTCACAGCCCTTGGGCTCTCTCCCTTCACCCCTGCCCTTAGCCTTTCCCTAAATATTTAAGGGTTCCCTCTGGGATCAGGACCCACATGGGATTCGCACACTCATCCGGGTCTCAAGACCATCAGCCTGCTCCTGACCGTGGGTCGACCTTAATCAGTCTGTGCCCCTCGCCCAGGAGGCTGAGAGCCACCCTCAGTGCCGGCGGCTGCAGCTCAGAGACCTCATCATCTCGGAGATGCAGCGGCTCACCAAGTATCCCCTGCTGCTGGAGAGCGTCCTCAAGCACACGGAGGGTAAGCACTAGGGGGGTGGTGGCCCCCAGCCTTGTTCTAGCACTGACTTGCTTTGTGGCCTTTGCAAGACTTTTGTGGGGTCTTCTTCCCCTCCTTGTCAGGGTCAGTCTCAGAGACAGTGATTATAAGTGTGGTTTGGGGAAGACAAGGTGCTTGGCAGTCAGGTGAGGGAAGGGTCACCTCCAGCCTTTGTGGAGCCCTGGTGCAAATCTGAGGGGAGCATCTGGGTGTACCCAAGGTTAGCACGCAGACTCCCCTATGACCGTGGTCCCACACAGGGCTGAGGCTGCATTCAGGCCTATCTGTCCCCTGCTGGGCGCCTCTGTGCAGTGCACAAGACGGTCCTGAGTGTCCCTCACTGCCCTCAAATCTGGGGCATTAGAGTTGGGTGTGGAATGTGAGGCCCATCACCTGTCCCAGAGGCTACTGTGGCTACCGGCCAGTCCCCTGCCCTCCCAGACATCCATGGAGCTGGTTGTGGTCCAGGTGGCAATTCCCAGAAGCTATCGGTGTCTTGAGAGACCCGTGGTCTGAAACCGAGGGCCCTCAGTGACAGGGCCCCTCACATCCGAGGTTCTCAACTCCGGCAAAGGCAGCACCCCTGTATCCCTACCCGCCAGCTTGCGGATTCTGACAGGCTTCTCGGGAGGGAGCCCCTCACCACCGCCTCTGCCCCAATTGGTAGGTGGTACCTCTGAGCATGAGAAGCTCTGCCGGGCTCGGGATCAGTGCCGGGAAATTCTCAAGTACGTGAATGAAGCAGTGAAGCAGACAGAGAACCGGCACCGGCTAGAAGGCTACCAGAAACGCCTGGACACCACCTCCCTAGAGAGGGCCAGCAACCCCTTGGCGGCAGAGTTCAAGGTAGAAGACAGAGATCACAGCATGGCCAGCCCCCCCCCGCCACACACACACATACACACACACTTGGGGCATCCTTGGGAGCAGAACTGGCTGGGGCCTGGAGGGCCTCGGAGTGGGCGGCATGGGCCTCTTTTTTTTTTTTTTTTTCTTAAAGATTTTATTTATTTATTCATGAGAGACACAGAGAGGCAGAGACACAGGCAGAGGGAGAAGCAAGCTCCATGCAGGGAGCCCGACGCGGGACCTGATCCTGTGTCTCCAGGATCAGGCCCTGGGCTGAAGGCGGCGCTAAACCGCTGAGCCACCTGGGCTACCTGGCACGGGCCTCTCTGAGCAGGGTTGCCCTGGCAGGACCCCACGCAGACCCGGACTGACAGTCCTGCTGGTGGGGCTGGACACTGGAACCTGGGGTGCCAGTGGAGATTGCTGGGGAGGGAATGAGACAGGTGTTCGGGTGGGTGAGAGCCTCCAGTCCTGCCCATGCCGCCTATTGGACCATCAGAGCATACACCGCCTCTCATTTGCTGCTGGCACCCAGCTCCTCAGTGCAGCTTCTGGTACATAGATGGTTCTCATGTATGGTTGAACAAATGAATAAAGGAATGGTGTTTCCGTGACAGAGCTTGGATCTTACAGCTAGAAGGATGGTCCATGAGGGGCCCCTGACCTGGAGGATCAGCAAGGATAAGAGCTTGGGTAGGTGCCAGGGAATGGGGACACACCTCCAGGGGGCAGGTGGGCCAAGGGGGTTCCTGATGGTGCACCGCCGCCCCCCCCCCCCCCCACAGACCTCCACGTGCTGCTGCTGGAGGACCTCCTGGTGCTGCTGCAGAAGCAGGATGAGAAACTGATGCTCAAGTGCCACAGCAAGACAGCTGCGGGCACCTCGGACAACAAGCAGACCTTCAGCCCGGTACTCAAGCTCAATGCTGTGCTCATCCGCTCCGTGGCCACAGGTACCTGCGGGGGATTAACCTGCCTGCCACCGCGCTCCCACCTCACTGACCCCCTGAGCCAGATGGTGTGGCCCAGGATGAGGTAGATGGTGGGTGGGATGGGCATATCTGGGTAGAGAAGGCCGAGCTCAGTAGACAGAGGCAGTTCCATGAGAGGCCCAGTGTGTGCAAGAGAGCCTCTGGGCTCACTCTCCATCTCTAACTCGGGGAGACCCCTGCCCTGCCTGCCAGGGTCCCAGGCAGTGACGCGTGATGAGGCCTCTGTGCCCCAGCCCTTGCAGTCGGGAGCCGAGGGAGGTGACCCAAGGGCCCTTCCCAACCGTAGGTCCTGTGTGGTCCACTGACCTACCCCATGCAGACCCTCCTCCCCCTCTCCCACACAGATAAACGGGCCTTTTTCATCATCTGCACATCAGAGCTGGGCCCCCCCCAGATCTATGAGCTGGTGGCACTGACATCGTCAGACAAGAACACGTGAGAATAGAAGGGCCCCCGCATAGCTGCCATCCCCTGGGGCCAGGGCGGTGTGTACAAGCGGTCCTCAGCCAGGCCAGGGTGTAGGGCGACAGGTGCAGGGCAGGTGTAGGGGCTCTGGGGCTGCCGTCCTTGCCCCGAGCTCTTCCCCCCACACTGAGCTTTCTTCATCCTTACACGCTTGGCAGACGCCCACTTCAGGTCTGTCCCCCACCTGCCCCTTGTCCCCTCACAGCAGCCAGATGCGGTGACATGACTCAGAGCACAGGCAGGTTGAATCAGATGCTGTCTCATTGTCAGGACTGTCATCTGTGGAATGTGGGTCTTCCTGCCCCTGGGGGGGGGGGTTTGTTCGGGAGAGGGAGTAGCTAAAGAATGCTTAGCCCGGGGCACAGCAGAGGGTTGGTGTTCAGTGACAGCAAGTCACAAGTCACACGCCATGGGCCGTGGTGTGTGGGGAGGGGCGCCTGCAGGCCCTCGTTCTCACCACCAGCCCTCTCTGCTCCTACTGAGCCACAGATGGATGGAGCTCTTGGAGGAGGCCGTGCGGAACGCCACCCGGCGCCCCATTGCTGCCCCAGTGCTCACCCATCCCCCACCCCCAGATGCCCAGGAGCCAGCACACCAGAGCCCCACACCCACCAGGTACTCACCCTGGAGGCCCTGGTCATCCCGACCAAGAGCCACCTGTTCTCTGCCTCCAAGCCCTTCGAGCCTCTGCCCTCTGACCCTTCTGCTGCCCCCAACCTGGCTGTCCTGGAGACCACGCCTGAAGAGGGAGGAGAATACATGGTTGGGATCCGCCCTCTTCCACAGATACTAAAGCCTCACTTTTGGCTCCTTCGACCCTCCTTCGCTGTCCATTCTGACACAGGAGGCCAGGATGGCATCCGAGACCCCATCCTCCTGGCTGGTGGAGTCAGACCTCTGGCAGGTGACCTCTGGTGGTTTCTTTCTTCAGGGTAGGTCTGGACAGCTCAGAGGTGTTCCACAGCGAACCAGAATCCGGGTTGCTGCCTGGAGGTATATCCCCTGGATGGTCTTTGCAGAACCCCCCCCCCCACCAGTGTTGGTAGGACAGGTAGGGAGGTGGTCAAAGGTGCGCGTGGGGCAAGAGGAGAGACCGTTGGGGCCAGAAATGTGAACCAAGGAGTGAGTGAGTGAGAAGGGAGTCCTGAGAGAGTGTAGACAGGCTCACCTGGATGGAGGTTCCCACCCTGGCTCTCTGGGGACAGGTATTTAGCGGTGGAGGGAGAGGGGCGCTGGGGATCCAGCTGTGTATTTCCATGGAGAACAACATGCCCATGGGACACCTTTCCTGGGATGGGACTGGTGGGGGGGGCAAGGGGTCCTGCACAGGAATCTCATTAAGTCTCTCTGGGGCCCTGGGTTTAGACAGAAATCTGCCAGGCTCCTTGTCTGGGTCCCTTTTCTGCTTCCTCCCTCCTCACCTCCTCTGGATCTGGGCACACAGGCCTTCTCTGGCTCTCTATCTGCAGTATACATGACGCTCCTGCCATGTAGAAGCCTGCGCTCTGGCTTCTTTCCTACAGCCCTGCCCACCTGGGTTACCCATGTCACGGTACAGTGTTATTTCCAGGCATCTCTGCACTGGTAGTGAAGCCCCACACAGGCAGGGATCTTTGTTTTGTTACCGACGTATACCAAGACCCTGGGGACTGTGTCTGGTCATAGTAGGTACTCAGTAGACATTCATGGATTGAACCAGCCAGTGTTCCAGTCCCTTGAATCCAGAGCTGGGCGTGGGGTCAACCCCATGTGCCTCCCCTCCCCTGCCTTACACTGCCCTCCCATCCAAAACAGGCCCTGGGCCCCAGCAGAGGGTCAGGGGGAAGCACCCGGGCCAGCTAGAGGATCCTGAGCAGGAAGGCAGCATAGAGGAGGAGCTGGGTGCCCTGCCTCACCCCTCTGCATCCCTGGATGTAGAGAGCAGGGGTGGCCGGACACGGGGACCCATCCTCCTGCCCCTCCCAGGCCCTCTGTTCATGGAAGGGCTCGCCGACTCAGCCCTGGAAGATGGTGAGTGCCTGCTGGGCCCCTGCAGCACGGCCACACCAGGGTGAGCTGCCCCAGACACTGGTACACCCACCTGCTAGAGGGCTCTCCCTGGTTGTGCTTGAGGAGGGAAGGTGTGGAGACCGGTGTGACCACCTGTCCCCACCGTCAGCTCTACCCCATGACTGAGGCAGCTTCACCATGTTGAGAGTCAGGGGTGGCTCGGGGGGGCAGCACCCCCATGCCGGGGAAACCACCGCCCACTTTCCCCTCCAGTGGAGAGACTGCGGCACCTGATCCTATGCAGCCTGCTGCCTGGTCACCGCTCCGAAGCACAGCCCACCAGCGAGCCCGAGGATGACCTGACACCTACACCTTCTCTCGTGAGCAGCGCCTGTCACACCGGGGACCCCAGCTCTCCAGGACGAGCTCCCCATGGGGGTGAAGGGCCAGAGCAGGAGGACGTGGCTCTCTGTTCTCTGGAACGCCTGCCCCCACGGGCCAGGAATTCTGGGATCTGGGAGTCCCCAGAGTTGGACAGGAACCCAGAGGAAGAGGCTTCAGGGACAGAGGCAGCAGGAAGTTACAAAGTTGTGAGAAAAGGTAAGACAAATGTGTACACCCGCCGTGGAGGTAGATACCCAGCTTCCCAGGATAGAGGCGAGCCTTCCACATGGCTCTGTGTTCTGGGAGCCAAGTGTGCAGTCTCATGCCGGGTCCCAGCAGGAGATGCTGCTACACACAGAGGCTTTGGAGTCGGACATCCGAGGTTCAGAGCCCGTTCCCTCATGCCCACATGATAGACAAAACTGTGTGCCGTTTCTGAACGTCACTCTGTAACCCGAGGACATCAGTCGTGCCTGGCATAAACCAGCTGCCTGTAAAAGCTTTCACTCATGTTCTTCACAGAAGTCCCAGTCCTGCCTTGGGACCCTGTGGCTCTCCTCGGGGGCCTCAGGCCTGACACAGAGCAGATGCTCGTGGCTGCAGCGAGGGCACTGGTGGTGTGGGGTTGGAGGCAGCAGGTGGGGTGGGGGACAAAGCTAGGAGGGTGCATGGTGAGCCAGCATGGCAGTGGGAAGACCCCCAGCGCGTGGGCGGCATCGGGCCCTTTGGAGCTGCTAGGATGGGGGCTCCAGAGGGCAGAGCAGTGAGCTCGGGACGGGGACGGGACAGGGACAGGGAACTGGTGGGAGGAGACCAAGTGGGAGGAGACCAATGGGAAAGATGAAGAGCAATAGGTGCTCCCAGGGTGGGTGGGGTCCATCCTTAATGGATCCTCACTGGTGCTGGGCTCAGCCTCCCTACCCCGAGCGCTTTTTGCCCCTTCTGCCCCAGGTCCACCCTCTCTCCTGGTTTCTGGGAACTGACCTTCCTTCTCTGCCCTTCGGTGAACTGGTGGACAGCTTCTCTGCAGCCCCTTGGGCATCTTTCAGTGCGACCTGTGCTCACTTTGTTGTTCCTTCTTCTTTTCTCCCCTTGCTGCCTTCTTTCCCCTTCCCGCTCCTCTTCCCTCTCCTGGCCTCTGCCTCCCTGGTGGCGGTGGCCCCCACGCAGCTGAGGTGGTGGGCAGCAGGGCTGTCACTGCGCTACCAGAGAGCCAGTCAGGGCCTGAGCCGCCCGAAGTGGAAGGCGGAGCCAAGGCTGCGGGTAATGAACTTCCCCTGGGAGGCAGAACCGGGCCCTGGCCAGAGTGTGGGGCCTGTAGGGGCAGATGTGGGCTTTGGGACATGACCCCTGCCTGCAGTCACTGGACCAGGCAAGAGTAGCACCTGGGGACAGGGAGAGGCCTCGGGCAGCCTAGTCAGGAGCTGATGCTGAATCTGGAGATAGGAGGAGGAGACATGACCTGGCCACGTCCTTGGTGCCTCCCCTCCTTCTCCCTCCAGTATATCTGATCTCCTGTGTGAACCGAGGAGTCTCTGATCCTACAGTTGGGGCAGGGGCTGTGTGGCAGTTTATTGGCAGAGCTGGAGATGGGGCAGATGTGAAGGGGCCTCTCTGGGCCCCCTCTACCCCTCCTTCAAGGACAGGAAGGCACTCTCATCTCGCTGACCTCCCGCCCTAAGCATTTCCACCCCGGCCACCATGCAGGCTGGGCTGAGCAGAAGGGCCACCTAGAAGGCTTTCTGGAGGAGGAGGACCTTTAGGGACTGGCAGGCAGGGTGAGGCCAGCGTATGCTGAGCTTCTCCACAGGATGGCTCCCTGGGGCCCATGGGTCCGCGTGAGGGCTGCTGGGAGCACATGAGGTGGCTCCCACTTCCTCTGAATCAGCCTCCTAATCTCCTTTTGCCATGGGGACAGGAAACTGCTTTTATGTCAGCATGCCAGCAGGACCCCCTGACTCCACCACCGAGCCCTCCCAGCCCAACAGCCTCCCTGTCTGGCAGACAGAACCAGAACCACAGGCCCAGCTTCAGGGAGGCAGTGGAGGCTGCAGGCACCCCAGCCGCTCCCCACCCAGCATGGCCCTCAGGGACGTGGGCAATATCTTCCACACCATCGAGCAACTCACCGTCAAGCTCAACAGGCTCAAGGTGGGGGAGTGCGGGGGGATGGGAGGCCTCAGGCCCTTGGGGGTCTTCAGTCCCTTGTCCCTAGACCCATCACCCCCATGAGCAAGGTATATCCTCTGGCCTGTGATCTCCCCACAGCACCCCCAGCTCCCCTGGAGCACAGAGCTATCCCCTGGGCCTAGCGAGGGTGCGGCAGCCCTGCCCTTTTCCCAGGGCCCTGACGCACAGGACTGAGGTCAGACATCCCCCATGGCTCTTCCAGGACATGGAGCTTGCCCACAGGGAGCTGCTCAGGTCGCTTGCGGGAGAGTCGTCCAGTGGCACCACACCTGTGGGCAGCTTCCACACCGAGGCGGCGAGATGGACAGACCGCTCCCTGTCACCTCCAGCCAGGGAACCTCTGGCCTCTGACTCCAGGGACAGCCTTCAGCCAGGGCCATGCTCTGAGGACGGTGAGGGAGGTGATGCCCGCTGGGTACCCATGTGGGGCAGGGGCGAGTGGGGGGTTCCTCATCCGCCCCCCCCCAGCATAGTTAATTCATATACTCAACTTCAGAAAGAGATCTTTTCAGGGTAACCCTACAGAAGCCCCCCTAAAAATGGGAAACTGTCCTTGGATTAGAGAGAGAATGAAGCAGGGGAGCTGGTCTCCCACCTAAAACCTGCTCTGGGCTGGAACCAGATGCAGGGGGTGGAGGTCGCAGCACACAGCTACCCATGACCTTGTCACAGAGGGATGGCACTGGAGGAGGCACTCACACGAGTGCCAAAGTGTGTGGGGGCGTTGGAGGGTCACCCCAGGCCAGCTCCTCACAGTCCTCCCCACCACATCCACAGGCTCCAATACCCCCCTGGAAGATGGCACAACACACGCAGCCTCATCCCCGGGACTGTAGCTGTGCAAACCTCCAGATTGCCTGCATCATCCCCACTCCTCCTCTGGGGACCAGCCCAGGGAGGGACACATGGCAGGGAGACCCCAGGGGAGCCCCGCATGTCCTTGGTCTGCTCATGTCTGGGTTGAGTTCCAGTGTCTTCTCCCTCCAGCCGTTCTCCCACCCCCCCACTCCCCCATCAGGGCCTCTCCTGAGCATGCGGACTGCATCTGCAAGGCCCCCAGACACACAGGTGAAAGGAGGAGGCTCTGTGTACATGCACTTTCTTCCTCCCTCCTTTGTAGGACCCCAGGGCTGAGGTGGGGTACTTCCGCCTCTCCCTTCTTTGTCACTTTGGTTTCCTATAAATATGTATGTACTGTATGTGCATCTTGCTTTGTAAATAACTTTGACCTGTTTTGTTTCTGTTCCTGGGGGGCCAGAGGCAGTTACAGAAGGGACAGCTCACATCTCCTAGTTACAGCCCCACCCAGAGTCAGGGCCCCAAGGGGAGACTTGAGAGCCCAGGCCCTGCGGCCTGGGCTCTGAGGATGCATCTTCTTCGGGGGAATCCCTGACCCTACTTCTGTCCACCCCTCCCCATTCTCTCCCTAGAGGAAACCAGTATATCAGGTACGGCCCTAAAAACCAGGCCCCAGGATGAGAGGCAGGGGGTGTGAATGCTGGAATCCCCATGTTAACCCAGGACCATCTCCAGGGCCACTGCAGCATCGGCCCTTTGTCCCATGCCAGCTCCCCCTAGAATATCCACACTGTGCTAGGTGTATATATACATATATATATAAATATATATATAATATATAAAATATAGAGATGGAAATGACTGTTTTCCTGTTAAAATAATGTATACTCTTTTTCTCATGGTTAAGTTTTTTTTGTTTTTTTTTTTTTTTTGGTTTTTTTTTTTTTTTCTTTTTTTTAAGAAAAGTTAAATATTCTTCAACTCTGGTGGTATGTGTGTGATTTCTGGAGCTGCTCTGATAAAAGATCCTGTGGTGGTTCTCAAGATTGGGTGGAGGGCACAGAAGGGAGTCCCCAGACCCACCTGTGGACACAGACTCCCCCAAAGCTTCTGTGTGCACACACCGAGCCATGTGTGTGTGTAGACAGTTCTATTAGCCCCATGGCCAAAGCAGGAAAAGACCCAGAACCCATGGAATAAACTCGCACAGGAGATGGTCCAGGACAAAATGGGGACAGGGGGCATGTCAGAGGCTGATCGTCACCATCTGTGGCCTCCTAAGGCCTCCTGACGGCCCTGGAAGCCAGCACGGCACCCACAGCCACATACCTAGACCTCCTACCTGTCTGCCTTCACTGATGGACCAGGGGACAAACTCCCTTTCAGCTCTGGCTCCTGCTCCCTCTCAGACCTAGCACATGTGACCTGCCAACCTCATGAACTTGGGGTCCAGGCGGGCACCCAGAATTCCTACAGGGGTCATCGGAGCTGGAGGAGGACAAGGGCCCTGCAGCACGCTCGGTGGGTGGGGCACTCCAAAGCTGATCTCTGTTCCCTGCAGCAGCTCAGCAGCCAGGTGCCCAGAGGCACAGAGACCCCCAGAGTGAGAGCGAGGGAGCCTCACAGGGTGGGCATCTGGGCCAGGTGAGCGGATATCCATGGGCAGAGGGGATGTGGCCAGGTTAAATCTGCCGGGGCACAAAGGACACTTCTGGAAGCTCCCAGAGACCAGCCCCGTGCTCCCTGCCCATCCTCAGGTTGTCTCAGGGCGGGCAGCTCTCCAGGCTTCCATGCCCACCCACCATCTGGGCATCCCTGGCTTCAGACTGCAGGTGAACCTGCCAACACCTGCGGCCAAAGGTATAGGCTTCCGTGTAGCTTGGCCTTTGCTACACAGATGCGGAGAGACTTCACACCCTTTCCAAAATAGCCTGCCCATTCTGCATGTCCTTGGCTGAGTCTTTGTCTCCTCCGAACTGATCAAATACCTGAGGTCCATGGGGAGATGTGGGAGAGGGGAGGCCAGGAATGGCAGAACTGGAGCCCCACACATGCCCCTTCCGCCAGTCTTGTGCATGTGGGTGCCAATCCCAGGTCTTCCCTGCACCCCTCCAATCTGCCTCTGAGACCAAAGGCTGAATGCAGACCCTGGCGCATCCCATGTTCTCCGGGGAGCACAGGTGAAGAGAGCAAGCAAGAAGCCTGCCAGAGGAGGCAGGAGAGCCACACTCCTGCTGCCTGGGGCCAAGGGCTAAGTGTGTCCCCAACAGAACGCAAACCCTTGAGCCATTTCTGGCATGACATGAACAGACTGAGTCCAAACATTCCACATAGTTCTGGAACCAAGTTTTCAGACCACCTCAGGGGGAAAAGTAGAGCCGTAGAGTTTGTTCAGGACCTGAGGTCTCCCCCCAGGGAGGCCAGCCCACCACACAGCCAGCAGGACTGCAGCAGCCCAGGGTCTGGGGAGAGGTGGGGTGGGGGCTAGGTGGAGGAAGCCATGCTGTCCTCCTCTCTGGGCTTGGCCTTACTGATGGGATCCCTTGACAGCATCAGCTCCTGGATCATGGTGTACGTGGGACATTGTGGGGAGAAGTAGTTTTTCTGAAGGAGGGAAAGGAGTGTCCATTGAGGAAGGATGAGGATCTGTCCCCTGGGAGAAGACATTTCCGGGGACAGGGTGGGGAGGGGCAGGGAGGGAAGGCACAGTGGTCCAGGCTGGCCGTCTGGCCGCAGGAGCCTTGGAGGCAGCTGTGGGAACCAGCATCAAGGAAACCCCGGCCCTGCTTGGAAGCAGGGGACTCACCGCCAGGGACAGGCACAGCAGCCCCACAGGGCCCTTGGTTGCGCTCTTGGACTTGGAGAGCTCAGCCTGGTGCTGCACGGTGGCCAGGAAGCCCTCCAGTCCCACATCTGTGATGCGGTTTCCTGGTGGAGGGAGCGGCCCAGGTGGTGCCCCACTCCTCCCCCCACTTCTCTGCTGCCCCCTCTGCCCTTCCTGCCTCATTTCCCACCCACTTCTCTCTCCCAAAGCTGACAGACTGAAACAGGCCCTGAGCTGCTGTCCCCACCTCCCTCACCCCCAGTGCAGGAGGGCCACCACCCTCACTGTGCCCAACTGTGGCACAACCATGTTCTGCTCCATGGAGATGGGGCTGGTGACCCCCCTGAGGCAGCAGAGGGCCCCTGTGGCCCCGGAGAGGACAAGGACGGCGGGGGTGCTCGGCAGACATACGCATGAGGTTGAGGTGCAAAAGGACCTTGTTCCCAGGCATGAACACCTTCCCGTCTCGGTGCTCCACGGGTTCCAGGAGAGGGTTCACCACCTCTGATGCTTCAGCCACCAGCTGCTAAAGAAGAGGGACTGCAGCGGGTAGAGGGGGGCCACCAAAAGGCCACAGGCCACAGCCCCGCTGAGGACCAGCTACAGGCCAGGCTTTGTCCCTGGGGGCCAGGGATACGGACGTGAGCCTGTGCACCCCCCACCCCGGAAGCAATCATGGGGAAAGTGAGCTGGGAACCAGAATGGGCACAACCCCGGCACAGAGTGCACACAGCCCAGAGGGGGCCCCAGCCCAGAACAGTCTCCTGGGGCAGCGGCCAGTACACTCAAGCTGGCAGGGCATGAGGTCGAGACTGGAGGAGAGGGAGGGGAGGGGTGGGGGTGGGGGAGAAAGGCCATCAGGCAAGAAAACAGCCAGAGCAAAGGCAGAAGCAGTCTTTGGCACTGGAGTTTCCAGAGCAGTGTGGGCGACCTGACCCCCAGGGAGATAGGGGAGGCCCACAGACCTGCCCACAGACCAGCCAATCGCAACAGCGGGTAAGGACAGGAGGGCCAAAGCAAACCCCACGGTGGGGATGGGGGTGCCTGGCTCACTCCATTGGAGAAACAAGCCTGCTACTTTAGATCTCGGGGTTGTGAGTTCAAGCCCCACTTTGGGCATTAGATAGATTACTTATTTAAAAAAAAAAAAAGAATTTTGTTAAGGCAGCCCCAGCCCCTTTTTAAAGGCTCCCCAGGTCAGATGGAGGCCCGACTTTCCTCTCTGGCAAGGTCTGGTCTTGGTGCCAGAGAGGACTCCCAAGAGGAGAGACCCCTCCATGGGTAGGGCAGGAGGTCTCCCGATGGAGGAGACAGAAGGTGAAGACACAGCCCCTGGGGCAGCTGGAGGGCTTGGGCAGGCGGATGCTGTGCAATCCGTAGTCGGGAAGGTTCCGGAGCAAGGTGCAAGTGGGTCCACAGTGAAGGGGGAAAGGAAGGCTCCAGTAGCAAGACAGAAGGTCCCCCGGGGCCATGCATGGGCGGGCAGTACCCGGTCTGTAAAGGCGCCCTGCCTTCCTGGGGGGCTGCTGGCAGGGGCTAGGGGACAGGCTCGGCCCCCGGAGAGCCCCCCAGCACCTCCATCAGCACCTCCACCAGCACCAGTGCCTACACCAACACCAGCACTTGTACCAGCATCTGCACCAGCACCAGCGCCTGCACCAGCACCTGAATCAGCACCTGTACCAGCATCTGCACCAGCACCTGCACCTGCATCAGTGCCCAAGGTGGGGGGCAGAGCTGAGAGCACAGGGGACGCAACTAGTGGGGCCTCCTCCAGCCTGAAGGGAAAGGACCGTGCTCAGCTCCAACCCCCAGTGAGCCAGTGTGAATGGCGAGGGCACAAGGGGACAATAGGACATGAAGGGGAGCCAGGAATGTGCCACAGGGAGGGGATCACCACCCACCTCCCCTCCTACCTCAGACTCCAGCAGGAAGCTGCGTTTCTCTTTGTTCCCAGTCTTGGGTCCCTTTCCCTTGCTGGGCTTCTGCTCGGGGATGGTGACCTCTGGTAGGAGGACAAGAAAGCACAGGGCAGCCGGGCAGTACCGCCCAGCGGCCCCAAGAGATGCCCCTCAGACCTCAGGACTGGGGCCCAGCAGGTGGTTGGGTCCCTCCTCTCAGGGCAGGGCCACGGGGTGGTCCAGGGAAACAGGATGTTGCTGTGGTGGGGCAGGATGTGGGGCTGCATGGGTCTCCTTGCCAAGAAGAGATGTGGCCCAAAGAGGGACAACGGCTCCAGAAGCTGTTCTGGAGGCAGAGGACAGGCCTCCCACAGCCAACCCGCTGCTCTTTCTTCCTGCACAGATGGGCTCTGGCACTTACTGCCCTTGCCGGCCTTGCTAGGGTCTTCTTTCTTAGGGGTTCCCTGTGTGGGTGACTGCCCAGACCCTGACTTCTCCTCTTTCTTCGCCACTTCCTATGGAGCGTGCAAGAGAAGCAATGGAAGCTCTGCCTCCCTGGAGCCTGAGCAGGTGTGGGAAGGGGGCCCCTTCTGATCCCTTCCAAAGCCCTCCTCCCTCCACCCCTGCTCGCATCATACCCACCCCTGACTTATCTTTCTTCTTGCTCTGGCTTTTCGGGGTCTTCGTCGTTTGGGTCTTGTCTGCCTTTTCTGCCAACGCAGCACTGCTGACCCCCATCAGGGGGTTCTTCTCCCGCTCTGTTTTGGAATCCCCATGTCGGGAGGAGGAAGGCTGCACTTACAAAGGGAAGAAGATGGGAGAGGCCACTGGCATCCCTTCCTCAAGGAGGAGGGAGAGGAGCCTCCGGCCTGACAGCGCTCCCACCCCATCTCCTTGCCTAAATGCCCATGTTGTGGGGGACCCCTCTAGGGGGACAAGCTGGGGTAGCGGCTCAGACTCAGACTAGGGAGGCAGTTGTAGGGCACTTTGAACAAAGTGCAGGCACTGTTCCAAGTGCATTAGGTGAATTCACTGGGTCAGTCCTCTCCAAGGGGAAACAGCCAGTGCGCAGATGAGCCAACAGCCCCAGGGCCCTGGCTGCCGCCCAGCCGCTCCAAAGCTCTAACTCTGTCCTCTCCCTTGACCCACACACGGGCAGACACGCTGGGCAGCTGGGGCGCAGACATGCCCAGGGGCCATGGGGCTCACCGATCCTGAGCGCTCCTGCGACCCCTTCTCCAGCAGGAGGCGGCGGCGCTCCACCACCTCAGTGTGTGTCAGCTCGAAGGGGCGCAGGACCTGGGGCAGGGGGCCCGGTCAGACGCCAGCCTGGACCCGGGCCCCCACCCCACTGCCACCGCACCCACCTCAGCCAGCTTCAGGGCACCCTGGTCCTGGATGCGGTTGTGTGCCAGGGACAGCCAGAGCAGGGCGCGGTTCAGCCGGAGGCCCTGGGGCAGTGGGGAGGAAACGAGGACACTGTGAGCCCCCAGCTGGCCGCCCTGCTCCCCACTCCCAGTTCTGTCCTTCCATCCCCGCTCCTGGGTCCCACCCTCCATCCCTGCTCCCTGCCTCAGGTCCCCACACCCCCATCCTTGCTCCCAGCTCAGGGGGTCCTTGCTCCCCTCTCTGTGGTCCCAGCCCAGGATCCCTTCTCCCTGGTCCCCACCAGACACACACGTCTGCGATGTAGCTGGCGCCTGCATCCCCGATGTGGTTGAAGCCCAGGTTGAGCGAGACCAGGGTCCGGTTGCAGCTGTGCAGTGTGGACAGAGCCTGGCCCAGCAGCTGCGCCCCGTGGTCATTGATGTTGTTGTTCCGCAGGGACAAGTGCGAGATCCTGAGTGTGCGGGCAGGGGCGGGAGGGGAGAGCAGGCTCGCTGGGAACTTGGGGTGGGGTTCGCCTCTCCGGAGGGCCAGAGGGCCAAGGGTGGAGGGACAGCAATCGAGGGTCCCTGGGGAGGTGATGGAGGGCGGGGAGGGTGAACTAGGGCTGACCTGGCACAGGAACCAGGCCCAGAGAAAGGGGGTGAGAAAAGGCAGCCTCACGTGCTGTCCAGAGCCATGAGCTTGTGATAGGACTGCTCAGGAAGCGGGTTGCCTTCCAGAGACACCTTTCTGAGGAGGAGGAAGGTCTGAGAACCAGGAGGCACCACTGTGGCCAGAGGAGGAAGGGGTCAGAGAGGACAGGTGGGTCTCCGGGGTGCAGCTTGGAAAGAGTCCAAGGATGGCTCTCCCACATAGGAAATTATATGGGACAGAAGTGTAGCCATGCCAATGGGGTGGCTCCCCCGTGTTAGAGGCCTATGGTGACCTGGCCTCCTGAATGATTCCAATCACCACTATCCTCCAGTGTCCATGCCTCATGGAGTCCCTGCCCCTGAGTGTGGCTGAACCTAGTGACTCACTTCTAAATGAATGGGATAGGGCAAAAGCAGTGAGATGTCACTTCTAAGTTTAAATTACAAACAGATTGTGGTCTCCCACGTTAGCGGTTGGGGGCTCCCTGGCACGCACTGGGCTGTCTGCCTTCGGAGAGTCTTTGTGTGGGGGTGCTGCAGCTGGTCAGGGTCTTGGATGGAGCTTGGAAGCAGATGCTCTAGCCCAGTCAGGGCACGGCAGTCCCAGCCCCCAGCCCCCCCAAGCTGGTGGCACCCAGCTCACCTGTGCCTGTATTTATCTCACACCATGAGATAATAAATATTGGTTATTTTAAGCCACTACATTGAGAGGTGATTTGTGATCCCTCCACAAGCAGTGGCTCCTCCCACAGCTCGGGGAGGTTCGAGGATGTTTTCTAAGTCATAACAAAAATCAAACGAATGGCTAGAAATTTCTCTACTTAAAAATGTTCTCTGATTTATTTTTTTTTTTAAATTTTTACTTTATTTTATTTATTTATGATAGGCACACAGTGAGAGAGAGAGAGAGGCAGAGACATAGGCAGAGGGAGAAGCAGGCTCCATGCACCGGGAGCCCGATGTGGGATTCGATCCCGGGTCTCCAGGATCGCGCCCTGGGCCAAAGGCAGGCGCTAAACCGCTGCGCCACCCAGGGATCCCCTGTTCTCTGATTTATTATCAATGCTCAGCCTTTCCGGTTGGCTCACCTTTCACCTAAACCTGATCACATTCATTTTCAATTATTTGATTATGTTGATCTGAGTTATTTTTGTATCTTAACATGAATTCTACAGTTTTGTTTCTGCTGGATAATTTGTTTCTAGTTCCCATGATGGAGACAAGATCCGTTTCATGGCTTCTCTATGAAGAGTATAGAGGACCTCCAGCTGCAGAAGAGCCATCCCTGCCCTGGAGAAGCGTCCATCCCACCCACGGGGGAAGATGGGCAAGCCAATGTGAGGCACTGAGGGTTTGTTCTGTGAAGCAGGTAAGTCAAGGCTGCTGGGGGGAGCCTGGAGAAGCATCGTCCAAACCAGCTTTGCAAACCTCACCTATAGCTACACAACTTTACACCCTGTTCTCACCCCCTCCTATTCCTCCTTCACAGCTCAGCTCAGCACACCTCCTCCAAGCAGCCTTCCTGTCTCCCTGAACTCCATCCATGAAATTGGGTGGCACTCCCTCTCTGTCCCCACTCCTTGCTGCCACAGTGTGCACACTGCCCTTGTAGCCCTGCAGTGCCTGCCCTAAATCCTTCTCCTTCCCTCAACGGCCTGCCTGGTCCTGGAGGAGCCGAGGCAGCCCTTAGTCCAGTTGGCCCCAGGCAGTGGGGAAGAGGGAAAAACTCCAGGGAAAGAGCGGATGGTGGTGGGGTGACAGGGCACATAAGCCAAGCTCTCTAGGCTTGTGTGGAGAAAAGGGATGTGCTTCTTCTGGTCAGATTGGAGCTTCAAAAACCAGCACATCCCTCTGTAGGTACACCACTCCCCTTCCCAAACTGTTCCCCCCCAACCCCGCCCCAGACTGCCCGGGGGGCCTGGGGCCCTCCCCCTTGCCCACTTCCCTCTGACCTGATTGTGGATGAGCAGAGAGGCAGGAGGGCGATGAAAGTCGTCAGGGTCTTATCCGTCAGCCCGACCTTCCACAAGCTGGACTTGGGAGGTACAGACACCCCAGCTGGAGACTCCCCTCCTGCCCCACAGGCCCCTCCAGCACCTCCCAGTGGCCAGGCAGGCTTCCGGGCCCCCTCAGTTCTTCCTGGCAGGCACCAGAGGCTAGCCCCACGGTGGCCTCTGCCCTCCCCACCCCTGGGGCCCCTCACTTGATGGCCTGCAGCTGGCTGAGCGGAGGCAGACATTTAGAGAAGATACCCAAGATCCGCTCCTCCACCTTCCAACCTGCAGGAGGAGGAGGAGGAAGGCGCCTCAGGCCTGGGGAGGGGGAGGTGGGGAGGTGGGGAAGTGGGGGGGTGGGGAGAGACTCACCACGGATGTAGATTTCCTTCACCGACTTATCCTCGGGCTCCAGCTCCACCTGGATGGTGGGCCGGAAGAACACATACTTGCTCTCCAGACTGCTGAGGCTGCAAGACCCCGACAGGCGCTGATCGTCTACGAGGCAGAGGTGCGAGGAGACGGGTCAGGAGGGAGGAAGCAGAGCCCCTGGCCTGGGGGGGCCAGAGGAGAAGACCCCTCAGGTTGGGGGGGCGCTAGCCTGGAGGTGCTGCCTCTCGGGCCAGGCCGAGTTGGGCTGGGGTTCGGGAGAAAGGCGAGACTCACCCGCTGCCGCCGCCGCCATCGGAGCCTGCTGCACTGCCGCACTGGCTGCCCAGCGCCCCCGCCCTTGGGCCCGCCTAGCGACGGGAGGCTGGGTCGCCCCGGGCGACCCGGGCAGGCACCCCGGGCCCCTCCTGCACTCACCCAGGGCCGGCTTTTCCGACATCGAGGCCGAGGGGACGAAGGTCGGGTGCGGACGAGGCCGGGGGACAACTTTGGGGAAGTCCGAGTAGCCCGAGCGCGTGCAGAGCTCTGCGAAATCCGTCTCGAGGACCCCGGAGCACTGGTATTCCTCTGCCGGGCATCGGGAAGCGTCGGGTGGCTGTGGCCCCGCTGCCACTGAGGGGCAGCAGCGGGAGGTGGGGACCCCCCCACCCCGCCCGCGACGGGGACCCCCGCCCGCGGGCCCCTCCTCCAACGCGGGCGTTCTTACAGCCACTTTTCATTTTTATTTAAAGATTTTATTTATTTATTCATGAGAGAAAGAGAGGCAGAGGGAGAAGCAGGCCTCATGCAGGGAGCCCGATGTGGGACTTGGTCCCGGGACTCCAGGACCACGCAAGCCCTGGGCCCAAGGTAGGCACTAAACCGCGGAGCCACCCAGGGATCCCCTACAGCCACTTTTTAAACCTGAGATGCGTTGTAAAGACCCGCAGCTCAGAACACTTGAGTGGAAACAGCAGAAAGTCCAGACCCCGGAGAAAGGGGGCCAGTGGGCATGGGGAGTGTACACGACCCGGGGCACCTAACCTCCGTGAGGGCACCTCCACCCAGCCACTGTTCAAGGCCGCTTCCCCTCAGCTGCCTGCCCCGGACTCCGCCTCCCACGTATCCCCCTGCCCCCCACAAGGGACTCGGACTCCCACCAAGCCCACCCCACCCGCTCAGCCTCCTCTGGTGCCCTTGCTTCCCCGGGGCCCCTAGGGTCACTGGGAAGAAGTAAGACCTGCTGCCAGCAAAGGTAGGAAGCCAGGAGCACCTCTCCAGTCCCACCCCCCTCCTGCCCCCTGCCCAAACACCCACAGGAGTCCTGTGGAGCCTGCACTTTTATTTACTCAGCAAGCACGCATACAGCACTTACTCCTGTCCCACACTTCTCTAAATGCTTTAGAAGTATCAGTTCATTCTCAGAGTTACATTAATGCAGACAGCCGCCCACCACATCCCATCCTGAGGGCTATGCAGACCTGGCTAGGTCCCTAGAGGTCCCTTTCTGCTTCCCCATGGGCATTCCAGGAAGAAGTGGTTCCTGGAGGTGGGAAGGGGTGTCCCTGGCCCCAGGGAAAATCTGGCACCCCGCCATCAGGGAAGCACAGATACACAAGACCCCTTAGCTCCACGGACACGGTGGTGGAGAGGAGGCTCAGAGGTGGGGCAACCCCCTTGCACAGCTGACTCCCAGGCACTGCCCGCCTGTCAGGTCATTCCCCCTGCTGCGGGAGCCCCTCAACCCTCCCGGCTCCGCGAACACCATCTTTCTCTACACAGGCATTCTCAAACTCCAGCAACACCAGGAAAGGCAGTCAACGCCCCCCCCCCCCCCATTCCATGAACTAGGTAGAGTCTGGGAATTTGCATTTCTACAAGCTCACAGTGAGGCCCTAGCTACTGGCCCAGGGACTGCACCTAGAGAGCCTGCTCTAGAACCGCTCCACCTAACGGAAGTTGGTGAGACCAGGAAAGGCTCCATCTACACTTGAGCTAGTGGTTACCTGGGGGACAGGGCAGTTCTAACTGGGCTTGCTCCTGCTCCCTCCCTCCCACACGGACCTTGCCGGTGCACTTCTCAGTGCACTTCTCGAGAAAAGGAAGCCAGCAGATGGAATTTCCTCTAAACCCATAAACAGGCCTACAGCTGCCATCACCCTCTACCGCACACAATGCCGCCCTGACCGTCCTGTTGCCTGCCCTGTCCCAGCCTCCCTGGGCAGTGGTCACCCCATTCTCTCCCACCTGTCGGCCCAGACCCCCAGGCCAATAGGACTTCCCTGCCAGCTGTGCCTCCCCCTAATATCTCCAGGCTTGGTCCTGCATGCTCTGCTCTTCTCTGGTTACACTTCCTCCTGTCCCAGGGGAATCTCTTTCCTTCCCAGGCCTTAAATAGGCTCGGACCTCAGCAGCTCCCAAAGCGACATCTCCAGCCCTATCCTCCCTTGAGTGCTCCCGATCTGTGTGTCCAGCTGTCCAGCTGACATCACCTCAAACCCTTTCCCTCTCAAAGCAGATGGATTTGAATCCAGAAGCCTTCCAATAGGGGTGCCTGGCTGGCTCAGTTGGTAGAGCATGTGACCTTTGATCTCAGGTCGTGAGTTCGAGCCCCACATTGGGTGTGAGACCTACTTTAAAAAAAAAAAAAAAAAAAAAGCCTTCCAACAAATCCCCTGCATGGATCACCCGTTTGGGTTGGGGTTCTTTCACATGCAGTAATACAGAGCCACATGCTTACTTGTACTCTGCCAATGATTTTCTTTTCCCAGAAAATGTGAATGGACTGTGTGCATATCGTTCTCTCCGTATCTAGAAAGTGATTGTTGAATGAGTGAGTGAATGAAAGTCAAAGACACCTCCTGGTAGGTTCCCCATCAGGTGTCCTATCACTCCGCAGGCCTTCTTCTCTCAATACATCTTATCACATCTTATTGTATTTGTCAGTATCCCAAACCCCAGTGCGTGTTCTCTGGGATCAAGCTCAATTCAAACATCTATCAAACTGAGTTTTGGGGGCGGGCTGGGGGTACTGTGTGATTTGCTTCCTGAGATGGAGCAGAGCGCTGGTCACACGGGAGCTGCACAACGTGCACTTGTGAAGGACCAAAGGGATTTGAAGTTTACAAAACACTTTCTCACCAGCGTCTCCACCGCTCCCACATCTCCGCACTCTAGAGAGGGTGCGCAAGGCCACACTCCTAGAGACGGTTACCACGCAGAGCACCCTGTCTCGTGCCCGCCCGCGCTGAGCACAGCGCTCCTTAGCCCCAGAGATGCCTCGATCGTGTCCCGGCTCGGCTGTCCCGCGCACCACAGCGTCTTTCTGCACCGGGGCAGCCCGGGCACCACCACCGCGCCCACCGGCGGTGCGCCCAGCCGCGCCGCCCGCCTACCAGGGTTCTTGGGCTCCTCCTCGCCCACTGGCGGCAGGACGGTGGCCGGCTTCTCCTTGGCCCCGCGGTCCCCCTTCTTGGTCACTGCGCCGGACGTCTTCTGGGTCCCGGGACGCGGTGCCCTGGGGGAGGTCCCCGGCGCACTCGCCTCCCCCGACATGCCGGTGCGGTCCTCAGCGACTCTGGGACGGCCCAGGGGGCCAGGAGGCGAGACAGGGCTCCGTGGGGTTCGCCCGGGGGATGGTGGAACTGGGGATCTCTACTCCGCCGCCACCGCCCGCCCCTCCCTGCGGCGTCGCCTCCGCGTCCCTCTCCACGACAACCGTGAGCGGCGGGCTGGCGGGCGGGAGCAACTGCAGAGCGCGCGGGGCCACCTGGGGGCGCCGCAGAGCCTCGGCTGGGGCCGGGAGCCCGGGGGCGGAGCCACAGCCGGGGGCGGGGCGGGCGGAGCTGCAGGGGGCGGAGCTACGCGGGGGGCGGGGAGACGGAGAGCCGGGGGCGCGGCGGAACCGCAGGGGGTGTGGAACATCCCAGGGGCGGGGCCACAGTCGGGGCGGGAGCGGAGCCAAGGATGGAGCCCGAGGGAGGAGCGGGGCCGGGAGCTCTCCAAATGCGCACAGGAGGCTACAGCCCTAGAGAGTGGAAATCCTGTTAAAGATCGCGTCAGTCGGAGGGATCTAGGCAGGGAGAGTTGGGTGGGGGCAGATCCACTTTCTGGGGTCTGCTCTCCTGTCCTGAAAGAAGAAGGCTCCTGTTGGAAAAGGTGTGGCGCTGGATTTCTATTCTCTGCCCATCGAATTAGCCTCTGGGAGGTGCGGGCAGTTGGTGGATCCGGATTCAAAGTCTGTCCCACGTGGGCAGGCCCCCTCTCCTGTCTGCCTGGCCGCCTCCAGCCTCCACAGCCCGCTGGTTCTGCTCACCTTCCGGCATTCCCAGCACCTGCCCTCCTCCAGGCCTTTGCAACGCTGGGCGTGGACAGGCCACCCCTGGGGAAGACCTGACTTATGCGGTCTATGCGCTCAGGGTGTACAGTCTGCCCGCACTGGAGCACTTACGCAGCACTTTCCACTGGTATTTTCAGATCGCTCAACCACTCAGTCTTTTGCGGAACATTTATTGAGTGCCTACTGTGTGGCAAGGGGAACCAATATTGAGCATAATACATGATTCCTGCCTTCAGAGAACCTACAGTCTGGTGAGGGAGGCAGAGATTAATCAAAAGATCACATAAAGAAACCACCATTCCAGAGAGGGCTAGTACCTGAAGGCCTCCTGCAGGCATCCACGAATGCATTCAGGTGTGACCTGTGCTGTGTAAGAGAAGTGCTTCCATGAGGAGAGAGGTGAAGGACCAACAGCGGTTAACAGGTAAGTGGAAGAGAAGAGGACTGAGTGTGCAAAGTCCCTGTGGTAGGAAGGACTGTGGCTAGAAGGAGGACCTGGAGCGCAGGGTGACTGCAATGGAGTGACAGCGAACACAGTTCAAGGTGAGGCTGAAGAAACAGACCCGGCCAGCAGAGCCCCTAAAGCCCTTGGCTGTTTTGACTCTGGCGAGAGAGCCATGGGGCGCCCACTCATGAAGACTTTCAGACAGAGGTTGCCTAACCACCTCGTACTCTGAGCAGGCATTGGAGCAGGTACCAAGTGATGCAGGGAGGCCAGTTAGCTGGGTTTGGGCTGCCTCTCGACTACACACTGAGTGTCTCCAGGACAGGCTGTGTGTAGAGAAGCCCTCTGAAAACACACACACACACACACACACACACACACACACACAGCCCCGCCTGGGAGTGCACAGAAAAGGAACCCAATATACATTTTTTTACATTAATCTGCAATCAGACTTTTCTAGCAACATTCATCCCACCAGTTTATGTACGAGGGCCCTGGGGCCTTGGGAAGCAGCAGGCCCGGACACACAGGAAAGGGAACGTGGGCTTCCCGCGGACCAGGGTCTCCCATTCTGTAACCTAGGAGCCAGGCCCTGACTCCTCAGCATCCACTGCCTCTAGTAAACGTGTCCGTGTTCACGGCCTGCCAGTCCTCTCCCTGCTCCTGGCAGGATGGCAGGCTCTGTCCCCAGCCTTGGGCAGCAAAGAATGGTATGCGTGCCATCCTGACTCCTCAGCGGTCCTGGCGCCGGAGTGGGGGTGACGGGGGATGGCGTACTGGAGGCAAGTCATAGTGTCCAGGGATGTGGCTGTTCTTCGGGGAGTCGTAGTGGCCAGGGGGCAGGCCCGGAGGCAGTGGGGGCTGGGAGCCCACAGAGTCTCGGTCTGGGGACAGAGAGGGGGTAGGATGGGAGGTGGATCCTCCCTTCTCCTCCCTCCCCCCTCCTCCCCTCTGCTGCCTCTCCTGCCCACAGATAGACAGATGGTGCCTGGATGCAGGCCAATTGTTCATGTCCTCACCCTGACCTGCCCCCCTCAAAGGATGAGGACACTGTGCCACCAACCTGTGTCACTGTGTTCCCCTCTTTTCTGGGTACTGATCCTACAAGTCAGGTCCTGTAGGACCACCATTTCAAATCCTCAGCCCTGTGAGGTAGGAACCACTGCTCCTAGGAACCAGGACTTTGCCTGGTATGAGCCCAAGTCTGAGCCCAAAGTTCATGCTCCTGCTGCCACACCGTGGCCCCTCCTGGGCTCTCCTCCCCTGACCCTTCCTTCCCCCTCCCTCATCCTGGTTACCTCGAGCCCCTGCCCCAGCAGAGAAGGGGGGCTCACCGTAGGTCAGAGGACTGGGCTGTTCATAGGTGCCACTGTCTCTCTGTGGCTGGGGGTGTCGCCGCCTCTGGCTGTCCCGGAGCTGAGGGGGCTGCCTGGGGGGTGACCCTGAGGGTGGGCCTTTCATCTCCACATAGCTGCTCTCCCAGGGGTTCCCTAGGAGGCTGGGCAGGTCCCGGATGGTGGCATAGGGGTTTTCACTGCTCAGGGAAGCCACGCTGGCCCCCAGCTCCTCTTCAGAGATGGGCCGTAAAGAGAGAGCAAGGTAGTCAGGCTCTGTGGAGGCCATGGCTCCTCACCCTTATCATCTTAACCAACTGAATGGAGCCTACATGGTCTGAATCCAGGCCATGGCTCCTCACCCCCAGCTCAGCCCCCTCCTTCGCCCCTGTGCCCATACCTTTGCTGGAGAACAGACCTGGGCCACCATTGCTACCGTGGTTGTGGCTGTAGCTTCGGTCCAGGCGGCCACTACCTGAGAAGGAGGAGGAGGAGGAAGCATTGGGTGATCAGACTCTGCTCTCCTTTCCAGGCTCCCACCTCCTCTGGAACTGGAGCCCAGACCCCTTCTGCAGAGATCCATACTCAAGTGGGGCAGGAGGCTGGGCTGCCCTGGCCACCCTCACCAGGGGCCCCGGCCTCCAGGCTCTTACCCCTGTCCAGGGGCCCCGGTGGGGGCTCCCGGCGGTGCTTCCAGTCAGCAGGCAGGGTGGTGTGGTTTTCGTGCCCATGAGCTCCCCCTGGCCGTTCAGGGACTTGAAGGCTGGCGAAGAGCTGACTGCCTGGAACCTAGTGGAAGGGTTGGATAGGGAAAGTAACATGCCAGGATGGAACTTTCCAGAGAACTAGGTCTGTGCCCACCCCTCACAGTGCATCCCCTCCACCAGCACTGACCTTGTTAGGAGGCGGGGGATTCGGGGAACACTGTGACAGGGTGTGATAGCTGGGGTTAGAGTAGTAGTGGCTGTAGCTTGGAGGGACATCTGCATGAAGAGATACAGATGCATGGTGACCTGGCCAGGCAGAACAGGCCTCAGCCCAGGAGAGCTGCTGTCCCAGCAGATCAGCAGTTGGTCTCTCCGACTTCTCTTCTCCCTCCAAGTCCCCACTTCCCATATCCCCCCTGCCCCCACCCGCCTGGAGCCTATAAGCCAGCCTTTCACGTGTGCCCTGCTGGGCCAGCTTACCTGGCATGACATACTCGGAGCTGTCCAGGCGCCTGCTGCTGTAGGCGACAGCCAGGTGTTGGTGCTCCTTGCCTTTCTGCCAATGGCGGTAGCCAATGAACAGTGCCAGCAGGGCCACCACCAGGGACCCAAGCACTGCGATGCCAATCACCGCCCCCAGCGAGTTATAGGCCACTGGAGAGGTAGGCATCATGGTGAAGGGCTCCTGGCTTCCTAGGAGGATAGGATGGCCACTTAACATGGTGTCTGGGCTCTGCTGGTGAGCATGGGGTGTGTGCAGAGGAGAGGCCCCAGTAGGGAGGCAGGGAAGATGAAGGATCTGGGTCCTGGTTCCCTGGGGACACCGCGGAGGAGGAGGGGGGCTAGCAAAGAACTCACCAATCCTGCAGGGGGCACCACTGTACCCCGGGGGACACAGGCAGGCCCCAGTCTCCGGGTGGCACCTCTCTCCAGGACCACACTGGCAGAGCTGGGAGCAGTTGGCACCAAACATCCCAGGAGAGCAGCCTGGGAGAGGGACAAGAAGGCAGGTGGGGTAAGGGGCAGAAACCTGCAGTCTTGGGGCTTGGGTGCAGGGCATGAGTTCCCCTTCCATTGGTACCTTCCAAGCAGAGGTGTCCAGTCCAGCCTGGAGGGCAGGAACAGCTCCCATGTTGAGGGTGGCAGGTCCCCCCATGGCGGCACAGGCAGGGCTGGGCACAGTTGGCTCCCCAGCGGCCTCGAGGGCATGCTGCAGGAGACAAGTGGTGGTCTGGAGGGGCAGGGCAAGCCCCTACTGGATGAATCCTCAGCTCCCAGCATCACCGAATCTGCTCAGGGTTGGTCTCTCTGGGACACCAAGGTTTTGAACCACAGCTGCACACCGATGATTCACAGATGCTCATCATGTGCCCAGCTGCCCACTGAAACCTGCACTTGGTTATCTAATGGCCATTTCAAAATCCCGTGGCCAGGACCAGACAACCACTCTTCTATACGATCCTGCGTTGCTTAGCCTTGGATTCTTTTTTCTCTTTAACACAAGAGGGAAGTAAGCACCCATACTATCTGAGGTATAACCTTGGTATGCCTGACATTAGTGAATCCCCTAACGGTCAATGGAAGTGAATTCTATGGCGACCTCCCTGCCCGCCACCTCTGAGCCCACAGCCAGCCTCTTCTGGGTCACAGCTTCTCATTTCTCCTTTCTAATGCTTGTCGTACTTGGTTTTTGGACTAATCTGTTCCATGATGTTCTTTATATATTTACATGAGGAAGAAGCCACATACAAATATAAATTGAAGGGGCGCCTGGGTGGCTCAGTCGATGAAGCATCTACCTTCAGCTCAGGTCATGATCCAGGGGTCCTGGGATTGAGCCCCACTTCGGGCTTCCTGCTCAGCAGGGGGTCTGCTTCTCCCTCTCCCTCTGCCCCTCCCCCCTGCTCATGCTCTGTCTCTCTCAAATAAGTAAATAAAATCTCTAAAATAAATATAAATAAAAAAATGCAGAGGCAAAAAAAGAACATGTCCAAAACCAAGCTTAGGGATCTCCCCATATCCAAATAATGCCCTTCCCAGGCTCCCCTGCAGAAGAGCAGGAGACTTGTCCTCCTGACCTGTTGTTCACTGCTGTACCCCGAGTACTCAGGTGATTATATAATGCTTGTACTGTTTATATAAACTATTGAATCAAAGTGGGCCCAGAGGCTTTTATACCCCAAAGCAGCAGAACAGAAGCCTCTGGTCCTCAGCCTACCTGTCAGCTGCCCACACATGCGCTCTCACACACAAGCCGCCACGTACATTGGGAGCAATTGGTCCCTGTCCAGCCAGGTAGACAGTAGCAGGTCCCATCTGAGGGGTTGCAGGAGGAGTGGTTGGCACACTTGCAGGGCACACAGCGTTTTCCATAGCGGCCAGGCTGACAGGCTGGAGGAAAGAGGCCAGTGGTGACTTGGGGTAGAAGAAACTAAGAGGGGTACCCGCAGGGGGCTTCTGGCATCTGAAGTTGAACTGCACCCTCCTGCTGGCAAGTGGAGGAAGGAGAGGGAGCCTCACATCTCTGGCAGGAGGGGCCTCGGAATCCAGGGGTGCACACACAATTGCCATTTTCGGGGATGCAGGTGCCCCCATTCTTGCAGGTACAGGTGTTACTACAGTTGGCTCCCCAGAAGCCCTCGGGACAGGGCAGGTGACAGCGGGTACCTATGGGAGAGAAGGGGAGAATGAGCCTGGCCAGGCCTCCCCACTTCCACAGGGGCTCTTCTGGATACATTTCCTGTAGAATATATCCCCCAATTCTGCTGTGGGACTGGGGCCGGGACCCCTCAATGCTCACCTGTCCAGCCAGCCTGGCACTGGCAGTGTCCATGAACAGGGTCGCAGCCATCAGAGTGGTCACAATCACAGCGACTGGCACAGCCTTCTCCAAACTGCCCCTTCTAGGAGAGTGAGTAGAGGGCAGCGCAGGCCAGTCAGTCAGCTGGGGCTGGGGTAGGGGGTGGCTATGACCTGCCCTCCCCTAGGCAGACCAGGCTGTTGAGCACTTACCGGGCAGGGGAGCTGGCAGTGGGTCCCATGCCACCCAGGGGTGCAGGTACAGGCTCCAGTTTGGGGGCTGCAGGCTGCCTCGTGGGCACACTGGCAGCTGGCATTGCAACCGAAGCCCCAGGTTCCAGGCGAGCAGGGCACAGAGCAGTTACCACGCTGCCAACCTGGAAGAGGGGCCCTGCAGGTAGGCATGGGGATCCAGCCCGGACCCTGAGCAAGCACACATACGGGGCATCGGCTGTGTGGGGCTCTGTGCTAGGAGCTGGGAGTGGAAGTGTGGGTGTTCAGGGCCCAGGCAGGAGGCAAGCATGTGCACCGGTAGAAGCTGGGAAGACGCTAGGTGGCTGCCGGTGGTGCATCACCCCCTTCTGCGGCCTGCCTCTCCTGCAGAATGGTGAGGCTTGGCAGAAAATCCAAATGCTTAGAGCAAATCCCAAGCCTGGTAACTAAATGAGTTAACGCAGATCACGTGTAAGACTACGGGGAGGTGTGGGGACTGGAGGTTGGTTAAATATCACAGAGAGCCAGCCAAGTACCACAAATCCGCGTCAGAATCCAGCCTCCAGGTGGCCAGCGGGCCTGGGGCGGATCTCAGAAGCCCTTCCCGGCCCTGCCCTTGTATGGTTCTAGATGACCGAGGGTGAGGCATGCTCGCCCGAAAGGGGGCTTCTGACTGGGCCTTTAGGCACCAGGAGGATTTTTGTGGTTGAAGAAAAGCAAAGTGGATATTCCAGGAAGGAAGTAGCCTGGCTACTTTCCCACCGTCCAGCTGCTGCCCGGGGGCTCCACCCTCACCCTGCAGCCTCTCCCCTGCCCCGGGTCCGCCCCTGCCCTTGGGCCCTCCTTCGTCCCCGTGGCCCTGCCCCCAAGCCGCCCCTCCCCGGAGGCCCCGCCCCATTACCCTCCTTGCAGACGCAGGCGCCGTCTATGGGCGAGCAGGCGATGGCGTTGTCGCAGGAGCAACGCGCGGAGCAGCCCACTCCGTAGGTGTCGGGAGGGCAGAGGCTGGCGCAGTGCGGGCCCTGAAGGCGGGGGAGGGGGCCGTGAGGGGGCGGCCCGGCCCCCCCGCCCGCCCCCGGGCCGTCGCCGGGCCTCACCGTGTAGCCGGGCGCACACCGGCACAGGCCGCTGTCGGGCTGACACACGCCGCCGTGCAGGCAGAGGCAGTGCTCCTGGCAGCCGGGCCCGTGCGTGTCCTGCGGGCAGCTCTCGTTGCAGTACAGGCCAGCCCAGCCCGGCAGGCACGAGCACTCTCCGCTCATCGGGTGGCAGCTGTGGCGGGAGCGGGCGCCGTCTGACCGGGTCGGAACGCGCCTGCCCGGCCTCCCCGGGGTCCCCCGCCCCTCGGGCGCTCGGCGCGGCGGACGCGGGACTTCACCGAACCGGGGGCGGGGGGCCGTCCTGAGCGCGCCCCCTCACTCGTGCCCGAGGCCCCCCCCCCCCGCCCCCTGGCCAGCCTCCGCGGCTTCAGCACCCAGGCGGCTCCCACTGGCCTCCGACCCTCGGGCGCGGCCCACCTGAGGCTGTGCTCCGGGTCGCAGGTGCAGGGCTCCTGGCAGCTGAGGCCGTAGAGGCCGTCGGGGCAGAGGCGATCGGCGCAGCGGTGCCCGGTGAAGCCGTGCTCGCACAGGCACGCGCCGTTGGCGGGGAAGCAGCGAGCGCCCAGGGCGCAGTCGCATGTCTCGGCGCAGTCCTGGCCGAAGCGGCCCACGGGGCACTCCTCCTGGCACCTGGGCGCCTGCTGAGTGAGCCTGGCGGCGCCCACACCACACCCACCCGCCGCCACTCCCCACCGCAAAGCCACTCACCGATCCCCCGTGTAGCCTGGAGTGCAGCGACACTGCCCGGTGAACCGGTCGCAGAGGCCACCGTTGTGACAGCGGCACTCCTGGGAGCAGTTGGGTCCGTGGAAGCCCTCCGGACAGGGCAGGGAACAGATGGTGCCCTGGAGACGTGGAAAATGCACAGAGCCCCAGGCGCCAGGACCCTCCCAACAGGCAGGGGACCCCCTGACTCCCCCGGACCTCGGACCTCAAACCTCTACGGGTCAGGGATCCCATCCCCTTCACACAGCCTCCTCCCAGCCCTGCTGAGAACCACCCCATACCCGCAGGCCCAGCCTTCTCACCATCCAGCCGGGGGGGCAGCTGCAGGAGCCCTGAGAGGCCTGGAAGACACCCCCGTTGTGGCAGGGATAGGTGCTGGGGCAGGAGAATCCACGGGTGTCCCGAAGACAGGCCACCTCACAGCTGCTGGGCAAAGCAGCCGAGGTCAGCATGTGCCACAGCAACACCTGCTTCCCCTTTGCCTCCAAGGGCTGCCACCTGCCCACTTTTCTGGGAGCTAATCCAGAGGCCTCAGAGCTCAGTGAGGCATCCAGCCTTCCTGTCCCCTCCCCCTTCCCTGTTGGGGACCACAGGAATCAGAAAGCTAAAGGTTTCTGGGACCAGAAATGGCGCAGAACAGCCAGCAGCACCAAATGGGGTAGGGCACTGGACCTGCACCCCTACTCCTGCTGTCACCTCTGGGGGAACGCTTCTGCCTGCCATAGCCTTTCTGTCCCAGAGGAGCCCCTCAGGATCTCTACCTAGTGCCTCTCCCTCACACCGCCCACGCCTCCTTGCAATGGGCTTCTGTGGGACCCTGTCTCAGCCCCACCTGGCGACACATGTTCACACACATGCAGGCTCAGGCCATCTTCATAGCGAGCCTTCTAGGTGGAGGATACTGTTGCCCTCTTACACATGGGAAGCAAGCACGTGAACAGTCAATGATTCGTTCAAGGTCCCTCAACTAGCTAGTGGCAGAGTTGGGATGAGGACCTTGGCCTCTCCATTCTGTCCCGTTTGGGACCCAGTCTGAGTCCCCTCATATCCCCATGTATGCCTGCGACCCATTGTGCACCTGGGTCCAGTTCTCTCCAGGGGGCAGAAGCAGGCTCCAGTCTGGGGGTCACAGGGTGCTCCATGGCACTGGCAGCGCAACTGGCAGGCAGGGCCATACTGGCCGGGGTGGCAGGGCTGGAGGCAGTGTGGGGGTTGTAGGCCAGAAGGGCAGAGACACGCTCCACTCTTGGGGTCACAGGAGCTGCTGTTGCCGCAGTGGCAGGGCTTGTCACACTGTGGCCCCCACATTCCTGGGGCACATGCTGTGGGATGAGGGTAGAAGGATGTCACCAGGGGCTTGCCCCCTCCCCAGCGTCCACTCAGTCCCTGCTCTGTCTCCCAGCTGGCCCCCCTAACCCATGCCCTGTACCACACCCCCAGAAGAGGCAGCTAGCTACCATGGAGCTCTTGGGGTACCTGTCCTAGGGGACCAAGCACCTGTGAGCAGTGGGGAGGGTGCTGCCCAGGGTCCTGTGTCCCTGCTATCACCAGGCACTCACCACTGGAACAGTCGTCACCCCGCCAGCCCTGCGCACACTGGCACCGATTGGGTGCCACACAGCGGCCATGAACGCACTCCTGGGCGCAAAGTGCTGGGGCAGAGATGGAGCGAGTGAGAAGTGCTTTCCCTGCCCTCAACCCCCTCTCCTCCCTGGAAGCTCAACCCCACCCTCCTCTGCATGGGGCCTGGTAATCCCCCCCCAGCACTTCTTTTTTTTTTTTTTTTTTTAGGATTTTATTTATTTGACAGAGACAGCAAGGGTAGTAAGAGAAGGAGAAGCAGACTCCCCACTGAGCAGGGAGCCCAATGGGGGACTAGATCCCAGGACCCCGAGATCATGACCCAAGCTGAAAGCAGACGCTTCACCAACTGAGCCCCCCAGCTACCCCACACACACCAGTAGCACCTCTGCCTCTAAGAGGTGCCACAGAATAGTGAGGGCCCACATCTCAGGCCAGAAGTGGACCAGAGCTCAGAACTGCAGGCTCCCCAGCCCCGCTCTGTGACGTTCTCCAAGCATCTTGTTAAGGAAATGGAGAGGGGACACTCAGGTAGGGACCAGACATGGCTGCTGTGCAGAGCAGGGTGGGCAGAGGGGGCAGGTGGTCAGAGGTCTCTACAGGACTGAGGGAAGGGGAGAGGGCCCAAGCAGATTCTGGTCGGGGGGTTCGGGGTGGGCTGGAGAGCCTGGGCAGTGACAAGTCAAAGACAGCAGCAGAGAGGGCCAGGAAGAGACAAAGATGGGCCCAGACCCATGGTGACAGAGAAACACAGGCAGCCCAGAGACAGACGGACATGCAGAGACAGACTGCACAGTGGAGAGCCAGGCAGAGAGGGCAGCTGCTGTCCTAAGGGGACAAACCCAGAGGGGACGGGGAAGAACTAGGAAGGGTGGGCCAGGACCCCACACCCCACGGCCCCAGCTACCACCACCCTGCCCCCACCCAGGACTCACGGACACAGGTGCCCCTGCTCTCATAGAAGCCCTGGCAGCACTGCAGGCGCTTCCGGTGGTCTGTCTTCACCACCTGGCGGTACACTGTCCGGTAGACAACTCTGGGAGAGACCCCAACGGTGGCCCTCAGTGCCCCCGCTGAGGCCAGGCCACCCACCCCACCACAGTGTGGCACTGGGGAAGGCCCAGGGGAGCACAGGAGCGCTCCCTCATTGCCCCCTCCCTGACCACACGCACACACACAGGCATGCAATACCCCACGCATGCACACACACCCCACATGAGCTCCCCAAACCATCCCTTGAGTGCTTTGAAGCCAGAAGTGTCCTCTGCACTCCAGAGTCTTAAGAAGAGATGAGGGTGTGCAGGGCCAGGGCCAGCTGAAGGGAACAGACGGGCACTCACGTGGGCTGGGGGCAGGTGTGGGGGCTCTCCCAGGGCCGGTCACAGGGCTCCGAGGGGAGCTGGCTGAAGGGGCGGGTGTGGGACTCCTTGGTGGTGGTGGTGAAGCTGCAGGACGGGATGGGGTAAGGGGCCAGTGTAGGAGGCTGACACAGGGCACTCAGGAAGCAGGGGTATGAGGGCTGGACCATGGTGGGGCATGCTGCCCCTAGATTTGGGGTTGCCCTAAGCCTAGGGTGAACCCTGATCCTGGCCCCCTCCTTCTGGAGGGGGTCCTCCCAGATTGGAATATTCCAGGGACATCACTATCATTGCCCCCTCCTCACCCTATAGGACCAGAGCCTTTCATCTTGCCCTCCTCCTCCTCCTTACATGGGAGATTGAGCTAGAACTGATTTCTGGGCCCAGCTGATGGAGAAGGGTCGACCCCCCGTGCCCCGCCTCCCGCCAGGCCTCATTCCCCCAACTCTGTCCTCTCTGCTCCCCTGGACCAGACCCCTTGCTTGCTCCACAGTGAATGGCTCCCACCCTGTGCTTTGTCCTGCAGCCAGCTTCCCACAGGGACAGGGGACGGGGACAGGAAAGGACAGGGTCAGAGGCAGCCTATGAGGGGGGCAGAGAGCGCGGGGGGGGGGAGGCAGAAGTAGGAGGGAAAAGGAGACCCAGTAGGCCATAGGGGAGCTGGGGAAGCAGTGAGGGCCCCTCACCTTTCCCAGAAGCTGCAGGTGTTGGGGTCACTGGGGTTGAGGGTACCAGCCAGCCCCAGGCCCAGGGCCAGGAGGAGGGAGCGCAGAGGTGGTGGCATCGCGGAGGCTGGGCGCCAGGCGGACTACAGGTACTACAGCTACAAGCCTGGGGGGACCAGCAGCAGGTGTGCAGAAGACCCAAGGCTGCCTGGCCCCATGCCCCGTGGGCTCTGTCCCTCAGGTCCTGTTCCTGACCAGGTGGCTGTTCCCTCCACCTGGCCATCCTCCCTCCATTCTTCCCCTGACTCCTCACCCCTGAAAGTCTCCCTCAAGTGATGCCCCTCCTCTGCAGATTGCCCCCCATCCCTCCCGCACCCTTCGCTCACACCCAGCCCAGTGCCTCTGGAGGCAGGGCTCCTGCCCTGTACCTCTGAGCCCCAGGGCGCAGCCCAGCCCCTCCCCTGGGCACTCTGCCACTGGTATACCCAGGTACCAAACTGCAGCGGGTGGGGATGTCATGAGGGAAGCCCACTGGGGCTCAGCTGGAGTGAGAATTCGCACTCTCAGCAGTCCATAATGGAACCCCACTGCAGGGGGAGCTTCCTGTCACTGCATGCATGCAGGCGGGGCCAAACCCACTCTGATGCAGCAGGGAGCCCATGGCAAAGATGGGTGGGAGGAAGGCTGGTCCAGACAACCTTGAAGGGGTGCCTCCTAGCCCCGGTGGGGAGGAGGAGTTTGCTGGTGGTACTGTAACTCAGCGGGCTCCCAGGAGCCAACTGTGCCCACCTCTTCCAAAGTCCCCAGCCAGAGAGGACGCACTAGCAGTCTGAAATCAGGCTGGGGGTGATTTACACCAGGGACACAGACACACCAGGGGCAAGCTCCCCTCCCCACCTGGCTAGAGGCAGTGGCACTTGCCAGAACACCATGGTCCCCAAGTCCCAGGGCTATCTCCTGCCTGAGGAGGTCCCCAACCCTGCCTCAGATTTAAGAGCCCCCCTCATGCACCCCCCCACCCCCCCCCAGACCATCTGGAAGCCACTCCCCTCCCCACGGCCTCCAACCGGCCTCGCCTGCCCACGCAATGGGTGGGGAGCCCACCGGGAGGGCAGGCAGCAGGTCAGGACCTCAGCTGGGTCTGCTCTGCTCCTGAGCTGGGGAAGGGCTGAGCTCCTTGAGCACCCACCCCCGCAGCTCACATTCTGTGTTGAGAGCTCCCTGCTCCCTGCCTCCCTGAGGCGCCCACATCTGCTAGTGATTTTCCCTAAGAAGAGAAAGAGGTCGTGGTTGCTGGCCCCCCTGTCCCCCTGAGAATCTCTGGAATGCCTGCTGCCTGGCCCCACCCTCTGCCCCCCACCCACACACTTCCAGGGTCCCCGCAGCCACCCCTTCACCCACCCTCCAGGTCGGAGTGAGAGAGATGCCTGATGTGACCTGTATCACCCTCCACCGCCTCCCACCACCTCCCGCTGCTGTTGCCCAGGCTTCCCACCCTGCAGTCCCCTGGCCGGTGGCCCCGTTACTGCAGGCCCAGGGCACACGTCCCCCTCTAGCCTCCATCACTCCTCAGGTAACTCACCAGGCCTCTGCGGCTTCCTGCAGCCTGAGCCACTCAGATGAGCTGGGGGCAGGGCAGCTCGGCCAGACCCCAGGGCCTGGAGGGCCAGACAGTGTCCTGGGGGATCCCAGTGCTCAGGATATGGAGCCTGAAAACAGGAAATAGAGGCTGGCTAGAATGAACATACATGGGGGAGGGCAGCAGGGAGTGGGGTCGTGGGACACCATGCCCTCAGAAGGTGGGATGCCAGTGGCAGGGCCAGAAGCCTCCCTCCAGGAGCTGCCTCCTGAGCTGAGCACCCTGGCCCCCTCTGCAGGGCTGAGGGGGAGGTTCAACCTGTCTCAGAGAGCCAGGCCACAGTCACCAGCATCCTTCAGACAGTACCCAGTCTGTTCCAGGGCACCCCCCACAGCAACCTTTGCATCCCCCCATTCCCCTCCTGAACAGACTTGGCTCCTCCTCCCACCATCCCCAAACTATCCCCTCCACCCCTGCCCTGCACCGCCACCTTTGCAGGTCCAGGGCCCACCTCCATGGCCCCCCATGTGGGCTCCCAGGTGACCTCCTCCCTGCAGGGCCACCCCTGACTGGGCCCCTGCAGGATCCTGAGCCTTCACACACTTCCCATCTCTACCCTGTCCTCTGCCCAGCCCCCAACTGTCCTCAGACTGTGCCTTAGTCTGAATGGATCCAGATCACCCCCTCGTGCCCCCCTCTCAGGGACCTGTGTCCCCAGAGTGTGAGGCTGTAGTGGGACACACACCCCGTGGCAGGTAGGACCTGAGGCAGGGTGAAGGGCAGCAGAGAGCAGGTGGCTACCCTTCACATGGCCCCTCCAGCCAGTCACTGCCTCCTAGGCCAACGTCTAGGGGAAACGATTCACCTGGGGGCTTGAGGAGGTGGGCAGGGGAGTATGAGGAGGGCTTGACCACCCCCTCATCTCCGGGCTGACCCTGGTGATCAGTTGGCTGGCAGGAGGGGTGGGGAGATCATATTCTCCCAAAAGGAATGCATGGGGTTCCCAGAGGATCTGTGAGACCATTCAGGGGTAGGGGGTCCGCAGGGAGGGGAGAGGTGAAGGTGAATCCCAGCAGGGCCTGACTGACCTCAGCCCCTGAGGAGGGAGGAACCCAGACCAGATCCAAGCCGGAGCCCCACCCCAACTGCCTTGCTCCCATCTGAGACTCCCTGAGGGGCTGGGGAATCTGAGGTCCTAGACATCCTTTCCTGATACCCCAAGGTCCCCAGCATTGGGGCGTCCCTGCTTAAACATACCCCTCAATGGCTTGAATCAGACAGCTCTGGCTCCCCAACCTAGTCCTGCCCCAGGGGTACACAACACACTCAGCGGAGGGCGCCCCATCCCCCTCACCATAGACTCCTCCTGCCTGTCACCTTCCCTTCCGAGAATGTCCCATAGCCCCTGGCATCATTTACTGTGTGCAGAAAGGGGGGGAGCCCCACAATGTATATGGGTCTCTTAGAGCTGACCTCCATCCACTGTGGCCAGCAGTGCTGTTTTACAGGTGAGGATGCTGGCAGCAGTGGGTCCCGGCCCCAGGGCCACCCAGCCCACAGGAACCCAAACCCGCTGGCACATGCTCCCAGTGGTTCTCGGCAGCCCAGCCCTGGCGGGGAATCCCAGGGGCTTTGCATCTCTTTGTAACAGTGTCAGTTAAGCAGAGGAAGAGCCTGCCTACCGTTAGTGGGGGCGGTCGGGGGAGGGGAGGGGAGGGGAGGGGGGCTGCCAAGAAAACACATCTGAGGCGTGGGAACTGGGATGTGTCTGCAGTCGGGAATGAGTCGAGCTTTTTCCTCCACCTCAAGATGCAAGGCAGAAGGCAGCTGGCCCTTGGCCAGGCCCTGAGCCCCCAGAGCCCCCCCCCCCCCCCCCTCCGCCGGAGTGCGGAGTGAGTGCGCGGCCTCCAGGCCCACCCGCAGCCTGGCCCCAGCTCTTCTTCGATTCCCTCCAGCGGGGAGTCCTGTCCTCTTGTGCCCTAGCCTCTTAGGAGGAGGAAAATGAATCTGCGTGCGGAATGGGGGAGTTCCTGGTGGACAGAAGGCAGAGTCGAGGGCCTCCCCACCAGCTCACCAGCTCCCCTCTGTAACTTTTCCCTGGGGGGGCAGTGACTCACAGCTCTGAGTCCCCTCCTCTGTAAAAGGGGTTGATAAGTAGCACTTCTCTCTGTAGGACTGTCTGTCCCTGCAGATCAATACAGGAGTTAATACAGATGAAGGTGCTCAATTAATATCCACTGTGTCCAGGATGGGCCTCCCTGCCTCCTGCACCCCATCCCCATCCCCATCCCACTGCCCTTGGCACTGTCATACCCTTTGGGTATTAATTCCAAGAAAAGCTGTTTCTTGTTTTTTTCTTAAGAACCCCCAAGATGATCCGGGAATGGGGCCTTAGCTGCTGACACAGAAGGGAAGTGGAGTGGGAGGGGGCCAGACCCCCCACAAAACCTGATCCCTCAGAACAATGGGCTGTCTGCCAGGTACATCCTTAAGCCAAAGGCAGTTGCTGAGACAGGACGCCTATGTTCTCCTTCCCCCTGCAGCCCCCAGCCTGAGCACCAACCCCTGGTGCCACTGCCCCCCACTTCCATCTCTGTCTCTGTCCCCCTCCCATCTTGGAGTCCCTAGGTTGTCACTCAAAGCTGTGTGATCTCAGGCATGTCAGTTAGCCCTGTGAGCCTCCATTCCCTTGCCTGTAAAATGGGAGTGTGACTGCCACGTCTCCTGGGGTACAGCGAGGGTTGGACCACTACTGCCAGTGACCTCAGCCCGGAAGCTGCCCGGTGGGGCTGCGCTGCTACACAAAGGGATCCCCTAAATTCTAGACTCTCTGCCTCTTTTTGTTTTTGTTTTGTGCTTCATCAAAAATGTTCTGCCCTCACAGTGCCCAGGGGGCTCAGCCAGTAGATCAGCTCAGGTCGTGATCTCACAGTCGGGGATCAAGCCCCACGGCAGGCTCATGCTCAGTGTGGAGCTGGCTTTGGATTCTCTGTCCCTCTTCCTCTGCCCCTTTTCTCTCTCTAATAAATAAAATCTTTAAGAAAACAAACAAACCCTCTCTGCTTCTGCCTTTTTGCCTTTCTCCATCAATTTCTTGGTCTCTCTCCATCAATTTCTGCCTCTCTCTCCTTTCCTAAGTCAAGGCTTCCAGGCATAGTACGGCTGTGTAGTACGTTCACTGCACTAGGGCATGCACCCTTGGGTGTGCAGTGGAAACCACGGGTGCCTTGCCCTGTATCTATCTCCCTTATCTCTCTGTTGCTTTCCTGTCTCTGTGTCTGTTTCTCCGTGCCCTTTCCAAACCCATCTTTGCTACGGAGACAGGATCACTTAGTCCCCCCAATTCAGCCGGTAGACCTCAGTCTGCAGGCCCCTCCCTGCCTCTGCACAAAGGGACGCATCCTGACCCAGTGCACCAGCAGCCAGGCCACTTTGTGCCTCCCGCCACTCATGTGCATGTGTCCATGTCGCACACGGCCCCTCCTGCCTCCAGCCAGGCCGCCAGGCCTCCGGCACGCCAGGCATGTCTGCCGGATGGAGAGACAGGAAGCCTGTGTGCTCACTAGAGGCTGGGCGGGAAGGGGGCAGGGGTGAGGGGCTGGCCCTGTGTTCTCTGTGGCTCAGGAAACAGGAGCTAGAGGGTCCTCAGCCCGACTTGTTTACTCATCAGGAAATAGGGAAACTGTGGGGATTCTGATTCACTCAACATCCATCGCATGCCTACTAGAGGGGGGCGCCGGGTGCCGCTCCCAGCCCTGCCACTGCCTGCGGGTGCCCGCCACCGCTGTCCTCACCATGGGAGGACTATGGAAGCGCTGGGGAGCCCGATGTGCTCAGGGCCAAGGGGTCGTCAGCGGCTACAGCAGGATCAGAACCGATTTCAAAGAAAGAAGCACTGGGCAGAGAAGCCCCAGATGACACAGGCTGGGGAGCTACTCCCTGTCCAGTCTGCCCCCACACCACCACCCTCTGACGCCCTCTGTGGCTCCCCACACCATGGAAAGAGCACACAGGAGCCAGGCCCGCCAGGTGTCCACCCTCCAACCTCCTCCGGGATTCAGCATACTTCCCCCATTCCTCCCGGCCTAAGGGCATGGGCCAGTCATGCCCCCCACCCCAGGCTGGCTCAAAACTGCATACAGACCAACACCTCCCTGGACCCCAGCCAAAGGCTTGGCACGCATGTCCCTCCTCTGGAGGGCATGTGGGACTGACCCAGGCCAGTCCAGGGGTCCCTAGCCCGGAAACCTTCAAGCCTGATGGCTGGATCTGGGGTCGGTGTTGGGACTGCAGGTTTGTGCCCTGGCTTCCCTGCAGGCTACAGGACCCTCCATCTCCTTCCTCTCCCAGGGCCTTCCCTCAGCCCCCACACACCTTGGCCATGACACTTTTGATTAAGGATTGTCTCCCCCACTGGAATAGAGCTCTGTGGGGTCTGTGCACTCTCCTGCCTTTCTCATCACTTTCCCCAGCACCCGCCAGCTCCAGAAAACACACTGAGCAGCCAGGCAGGCAGCCAGATGAATACTGAAGCCCCTGCTGACTCCCGCCAGCCTTGAAGTCACTTTGTGGGGCACACCGTGGGTGAGGGAGAGGCATCTGGTGCCCATGGCTTCACCTCAGTTCCTCGGTCAGCAGAACTGGGTCCTCCTTCCAGGGCCCTGAAGGTCATAGAGCCTCCACCCTCATGGCGGGAGTTCCAAGTTCCTAAGGGATGAGTGCACCATGGTGCAAGGCCCTGAGTCACCTGGGGAAGAGGAGGTGTGGCCACACGCCTGAGCTGTTACCCTGTGCCATGGGCCTTGGGCCCTGAGGTAGCCCCACACGTCCCCCCTCCCTGAAATCAGAGGGACTGGGGTCCTGATGCCCCTTGTGAGGGTGGGGTGGGAAGCCGAGGCAGGGGAGGGGACCCTGGAGGCCCCGTGTCAGAGCCCCCCACCTGCCGGTCTCTCTGGAGATCTCTGTCTTGACACATGTGAGTGCTGTGATAGCTATCACCACCCCCTATTGAATGTGTGCTGTGGGCTAGTTGATTTCTAGTCATTCTCTCAGCAATCCTGAAAAGTGGGTGCCATTATGCTTCCCATTTTGTAGATAAAGATATCCCAGAGGAGTTAAGTAATTTGCCTCAGGCCACACAGCCGAGTAAGGGCAGAGCAGGGATTGGCACCAGGGCTACCAAACCCTAAAGTCCATGCTGCCCCTTTGCACCCTCCTTTCCCTCTGCCTCCCCTCTGGTCTTCGGACTGGATTCTCTTTTCTCTCCACCCCTTTCTTTTCTTTCTTTAGGTCTCTGCTCTGTTTTCCTAAGTCTGCCCTTTCTCTCCTCTGGCTCTTGTTTGCCATGTCACTCCATCTCTGTTCCCCTATTTTTGTGTCTATTTCTAGCTTTGTCTCTCCTTTCTTGTCTCCCCTTCCTCCTGCTGGCCTCTCCCTGCCCAATTATGTGCCAGGTTTGGTATCAACATCCTCCTTAAGCTAGCTGGTGGAGCTGGGATGGCTGGGATGGCCAGGCTGGGGTGGTGGAGCTGGGATGAGGGGGCTGGGATGGTGGGGCTGGGATGGTGGGGCTGGGATGAGGGGGCTGGGATGCTGGGGGCTGGGATGCTGGGGCTGGGGCTGGGATGGCGGGGCTGGGATGAATCCAGGGAGGCTGTTTCTCAGTGTTTCCCAGGCCACTCTAAAGAGTCTGGGGAGCACAGTGTGGAGGCGCTGCCTGACTCTTGCACCCTCCTCAGCAGCTGGCGGGGGGGCGGGGGGGGGGCAGGCAGACAGCAGCCCAGTGACCTCTATCTCTGCCTGGAGAGCCCATTTCCTCTTCTGGGAAAGTCTGATAGGGGATGGAATAGGGGGAATGAAGAAGCAGATGCCAACCCTTGGTTTCACCTCCCAGTGAAGACAGGGGGCCAAAGAGGCAGGCCTGGCCTCCACCCAGCTCCTCTGTGCCGGGAAGGGAGCCCCAACTACAGTGGTGAGTGTGCTGGGCCGACTTTGGGGGGCTTCGGGAATGAGAGAGGAGCAGCCAGGGACAGAGGAAGGAGACAGGAGAGCTGCCCCCACACTTGGCTCATGTGGGCACACACACAGATACTAGAGCATGGATTGGGGTGGAGTTCTGAGAATAGCCCCTTGCCTGCACCAGCCCCCCGCTGAGGCCCAGCTGAGGCCAGGGGTGAGAGCTGACCTCTTGCCCAATCCTGCCTGGAGCAGAGGTCCGGCTCAGCCCAAGCCTGGGAACCTCGGGCCAGCACAAGCTGTTCCCCTCCCTGGGGACTGGGGTCACAGCCCAGCCCTGGGAGAGGCCACTTGTAAAGGTCAAAACAGGAGAGTGAGAACCCAGTACTGAAGACAGGCAATGGGGTGGGGCTGGGGGTGGGCTGGTGGGGCCCTGGTCTAGGGGGTGACCACCCCCCAGCCTCACCCCAGCCTTGCCACCTCAAATGATCTGCCCAGCCCAAGGCTCAGTCAGGCTACAGATACAGGAGACCATTGGCCAATTTCTTGTGCCCTAAACTGGTCAAGCGATGAGCGCCAGGGCCCTGCACACCTGGGCCCTTCCCTAACCCTCCCGCCTGTCTGGGAGCCCTGGGCACTAACAAAGCCCTGACCAGGCGCTGTGCTAACCAAGAGGTAAGTTTTGTCCATCTGTGCCTCCAAGAGTCCATGGGTAGGCACCGTGTTCTGAGTCCTCTCCTAGAAAGAGTGGGGGAGGCACAGGGGACTGATGGCCAGGATGGCGCACGGTGGAGATTGGAACTCAAGCGGCCCTGATTCCAGGGTGGGTGTTCCAAAGGCTCCCCTCAGCCCAGGAAAAGGACACGTGCCCCCACTCTCCCGCCAGCATCCCCCTCCCCCCGGAGTCACGCTGGGGGGAGCCCCCCGCCCCCAAGTCACTCCGGGGGCTCGGGAAGAGGCCTCATTGGCATGCCACTTGCGTGCGGTCCGGGGTGGGGGGCACACAGGTGCCCCCTGCCCCTCCGCTGCCCCCACCCTCACGCAGAACTCGCGCCGCGGCCCTCCCCGGGGCAGGGGGCGCAGAGCGAGGGGGGCGCGCGGTCACTCACCTGCCTCTCACTCGGGCTGTCGTCGGCCTGGGGTGGGGAGCGCCGGCGCCGGCCAGGGAGGGGACGGTGGGGCGGCGGGACGGCGGGGAGGCGGGGCCCGCGGCCCGCGGGGCGGGGCGGGGCAGGAAGGGGGCGGGCCCCTGGGCCCCCGCGGGGCAGGAAGTGTGGAGGGGGCGCCGGGGAAGACCCGGACGGAGCGGAGCGGGGGAGGAGGCGGGGGTGCTCTGGGCGCCCCGGAGGGAGATGCTGGGGAAGGGGGCCGCCGGGGGCGGGAGGCGTTGGAGGGGGGGCGCCGGGATCCGGAGGGAGCGCTGTTGGGTGGCAGCCTGGCCGGGAGCGGAGCGGAGAGGGTGGGAAGGGGTCCCCGACCCGGGACCCCCTCGGCTCCCCAGCCGCTGCAGCTTCCGGGGTTGCTCCGCCTCCCGCGCCTCAGCCTTCCAGTCTGCAAAGTGGGGCTGTGCCAGGGGCCAAAGAGCCCGTAGGCGGCGGCACCTTCCCCGGGCGGCCCGGCGACCGCGGGACCGAGGCAGGCCGCTGCCCAGCGTCCCCGGCTCCGCGCCCGCCAGAGGAGCCGGGTCCCGCCGCGACCCTGCGCCCAGCCCCCGCCCCTGCGCCGACCCGCCTGCTCCGGGCGCCACCTGCCGGCCGTGGCGCGCACCCGCACCCCCCCATCCCGACCCCGACACCCCCCCCCCCCCCACCCCGGGCTTGGGACCAAAGTCTGGGCGGACCGACCATTATTGTGACAAGTACCATCTGCCTCCATCCTCGCTAGCCCTTGGGGCGGACTGCGTCACCGGACCCTTAACTCGAGATCGGGTTCACTTACGGGACGAGACGGCTGTCCCGCGCGGCTGGGATGCCACTAAAGTGGCCTCGCAGAATTCTGTGCTTCCCCCTTTTCCGGACTTGCACCACTGGCCACAGCAAAAGCCACACTAGTTCAGAAGGAGCAGGGCAGGAACACCCCCGCCTTAAAGATTTTTAAAAATCAAATTTATTGAGGTATGACTGACGACATACAATAAAAAAATGTACCCCCTTAAAAGTGTACAGTTTGATGGCACTTCTTAAGATTTTCAAAAATTATGGCAAAATCTGCATAACAGAAGTTACCATATTAACCATTTTAAGGCGTACAGTCGGTGGCATAAATACATCCATGTCGGGCACCACCATCCTTCTCCATAACGTTTTCATCATCCAAACCCAGTCTCCATTCAACACTCCCCACGCCTCCTTCCCCCGACCCTGCGTTATTTCTATCCTACTTTCTGTGTCTATGGGTTCCACTACTCTGGGTAGGTGGCCTAAGTGGAATCACACAATATTTGTCCTTTGTGTCTGACTTATTCATTTGGTTTGATGTCTTACTTCAATGAATTTTGACAAATGTGCTACCCTGTGTAACCATCCCTTCCATCAAAATAGCTTTTTAAAAGTAAGCTCTACACACCAAGGGGGGCTCAAATTCTCCACCCTGAGATCGAGCGTGGCATGCTACACTGGCTCAGCCAGCTGGGTGCCATCAACATAATTCATAAGTCCCCAGGGGCACCTGGGTGGCTCAGTCACAACGTTATGAGCTCAGGTGGTGGTCTCCGGTGGTGGATGGAGCCCTGCCTGGGGCTCAGCGCTCACAGAGGAGTGGGCTCCAGAGTCTCTCTACCTCTGCCCTCACATCCCTTTGCAGACAATGCTCCACCCCCACCCCCAGCTCTGTGAAATCTCTGATCTGCTTTCTGTTCCTGTAGAATTGTTTGTTCTAGAATTTCCTATAAATGCATGCACGCCATACTTACTCATTTATTTCTGGCTTCTTTCACTTACCATAAGGCTTTTGAATAGTTCATTGCTCTTTGTCACTGAGTGGCATCCCCCTGATGGATATACCACAATTGGCCTTATCTTTATGCCCCCGTTGCTAGGACTGGCTGTTTGGGTTTTCCGGTTTTGAGCTACTGTGAGTAAAGGTACTCTGAACGTTTGTGCACAAGTCTTATGTGAATATGGTTTCATTAGTCCTGGCAGGTTTTTTTTTTTTTTTTTTAAGTAAACTCTACCCCCACCGTGGTGCTGGAGCCCATGAGCCCACAGTGAGGAGTCAGAGTCACAGGCTCTGAGCCAGCCAGGCGCCCCTGTCCTGGTGGTTTCTTTGGAGTGGGATTGTGGGGTTTAACAGTGACGAATCCGTTATGTATTCTGGTTTCGAGTCCTTTACCAAAAATACGTCCTGAGAATGTTTCCTACCTGCGGGGCTCCTGTCTGAGGGAGACCAGTGGGGTGGGGAGTGCACGCCGCCAGCAGGCGCCGCTCCCCCTGGCACCTGGCTCAAGAAAGGACGCGAAACAGGTTTGCGGGTGGTAGACCAAAAGTCTCCAGGAGGGGGCAGCAGAGACCCGCGCGCAGCTCCCGGTCCGGAGGCCCAAGATCACAGAGTTGCAGCACACCTGAGGCCAGAGGGGCCCTGAAATTCAGCCTTGGGATGCAGCACCTCCTAGGGGCCAACGGGGGACCTGCGCTCCGCCCTCCTCCAACTGCGCAGGTGTTCTCCTCCCTTCATGTTCAGGTTCAGCACGAACCCGGCGCAGCGACTCCTTCCCTCCCTCCCTAGTCTTGCATCTGAACGTTAAACCTGCCCCACCTGGCCTGAGTGTTTCTTTTTTTTTTTCTTAAGGCTTTCTAAAAGTTATTCATTTGAGAGAGACTGAGAGCGAGCCAGAACAGGGGGGAAGGGGGATCCCTGGGTGGCGCAGCGGTTTGGCGCCTGCCTTTGGCTCAGGGCGCGATCCTGGAGACCCGGGATCGAATCCCACGTCGGGCTTCCGGTGCATGGAGCCTGCTTCTCCCTCTGCCTGTGTCTCTGCCTCTCTCTCTCTGTGTGTGTGACTATCATAAATAAATTTAAAAAAAAAAGTTTAAAAAAAAAAGAACAGGGGGGAAGGGCAGAGTGGGAAGCTGACTCTCAGCTCTGCAGGGAGCCCGAAGGGAGATGGGGCTCGATCCCAGGACCTTAGGACCCTGGGGACCATGTGAGCAGAAGCCAGCTGCTTCAGCGACTGAGCCACCCAAGTGCCCAGGCTCCAGGCTCCTTCATTCTTTTGTTCCATAGGCACTGGTCATGTGCTTACCTGGTAATGGTGATGATGATGGCAGCTACTTTTATTGGACAGATCCCACTGATTTCCAGACACTGGTCTAAGATCTTTATATTTTATAACTTACTTAGGTGAGGAATATAAGTTCCCAGTTCTCAAGAGCTCACAAGCTAGTTGGGGATGCAATTATTCATTAATTTGTGGAATAAAGATTTATTGAGTACCTACCGTGTGCAGGCATCGGGGCTACAGCTATGAACAAAATAGAGAAAAATCTCTGCCTAAGCATGGAAGGGGGAAATGAAGCTTACACCCTAGTGGTGGGGCTGGTGGGGAGATGATAAACACACAAAATCTGTAAAATTGTGAGGCATTCCGTGACCAGTGCTAATATAAACAAATAGAGGGAAGCAACACAGGGGCGGGGGTGATAGAGCTGGCGATGCTGGTTTTGGAAAGCTGGTCTGCGAAGGCTTCACTGAAAAGCTAACCTCCAGGTAAAGACCTAGAGGAGATGAAGGAGGCACCCACGCAGATTCTGCAGGGAGGGCATCCAGGCCACGAGAAGAGCAAGTGCAAAGGGCCTGAGGCCAGAGCACATGCCATTTCAGAGACCAGCTAGGAGACTGGAATGGGGTGGGTGTCAGGGACGTGGATGAGTCAAATCCTGTCAGGGTCTTGTCGGCTGTGCTAGGGCTGCTGGGGCTTGTTCTTTGAGAAGGGTTGCCGCTAGGGGATTTGGTACAGAGCAAGGTCAAAATCCAATTCAGGCTTCAAGAGAATAACTGTGGGTTGAGTTGGTCTGAAACGGCTGCAGGGAGCACAGTGGAAGCAAGGAAAACGGGAGGAGGCCACCACACTGAGCCAGGGGTGCAGTGGTGGTGGCCCTGCCAGGGGAAGTGCTGTGCAGTGGGTGATGGGTGGCTCAGGACCCAGGACAGTGCTCACGGAGAGAAGGGGATGAAGAGTGGGGAAGGGGCTGCCAGGAGTCCTAGGGGCTGCATCGAGGACATCGGAGAGGCCTGTAGAGAGTGCCCTGATGTGCTGCCAGCTGAGCATCAGACTGGGCTCTGGGCCTCTTGAGCACACAGCTCACCGCTGCAGGCTGGATGCCCCGCACACCCCAGATGCACTGACAGAGGGAGGGGTGGCCCTTGCCCCATGCGACCCACGCAGCAGCCATCCAGGGTAGGGCTGGGGCGGGTAGGGGGAACCTCAAAGGAAAGCCCAGAAGGACAGAGCCTCATTGCTGCTCATCAAGCTCATCTAGGTGCTTAGCCATGGTGCTGAGGGCACTGGCCAGGATGATGCTCCCCCCCAGGGGTCGTGCCCACCTGCCCCCCCCCCCCCCGTGCCCTCCCAGGTCTTTGGGTGTGAGTGGGAAGGGAGCTCCCCTGGAAAAGGAGCTACAACCCCAGCCTTCTGGCCTGGCCTCCCCTGCTTCCTCAGGCTCCCAGATCTCTGCCCCTGGTGGTCCCCCAGCCTGAATGTGCCCACAGGCCCCCACCCTCTTGCCCCTCCCAGCCCTGACCACGCCAGTTCCTAGCCCTCACCCCTGCACTGGACCTGTAATCACAGCTCAGCCCAGACCCCCTCCTGTGAATAATTGGGGCTGATTTAGGGGAGAGGGGGGCTAATGGAGTTGGTGGGGGGCCACCCTGGTGATGAGAGAGGCAATTAGCAGGCCGGCAGCCTCAGGAATCACCTAATGCACCAGCCTGCAGCAAGGGCGTGGGAGGGGTCAGGGGTAGGCTTGGACTTGGGGAGGGAACCTGGCCCTCCATCAGGATGTTAGCAGGAGGTGGAAGACAGATAGCAGGAGGGACTTCCAGCAAAACAAGGGGGGAGGGGATGGCGGGGGAGGGGACACTATGGAGAGGGAGAGAGGCTGGCAGGGTGAGTCAGGCGCTCCCGCCCCCACCAGCCACCACCACCCCCACCTCGTGCGTGTACATGCCCGCATGCCCACCCCTCCACACACACACACACA